TGTCGAGCATATACTCTGTATTACAGGATGGTTGGAGAGCTGTTTATATATATATGCACATGGAGCATAGTGCGAGAGAGAGGAGTGGGCATAGTGATGTGAGCTCGATACTGCTCTCATGTGTGCTATCTAGCGTTGGTTTGTGACGTTCATGTAGGTGAGTGAGGAGGTCTCTCACGAGGTGTAGTGGAGAGGATTACCGGTTTGAGGTCACTGATCGGAGGTGGTGGTCTCGCCGTAACCGCCTCCACGCGGAGTCACAGATCGGGTATGTAGCATATACGTGACGATCCAGTTATATACAGAGAGGTGACGACTGGAGACATCGATATCTCTTAAGATCGAGAGAGCGGCATATGACAGAGGACGTACGACTCTTTGCATGTCACGGAGAAAAGATACAGGAGGGAGTAGAGAGCGAGAGAGAGAAGGTGTGGCATAGCAGAGCATTGCAGCAGGATTAGAGCAGAGACGCTCTGTGAGAGTGACTATTATATGTCGATCAGCTCGAGAGAGAGTGTAGCTGGGACCGCGTGAGGTCGCTCTTGTGTTACGTCATATGCACGCGTGCGTAGGGAGAGGAGACAGGAGAGCGTTAATCCATCATATCATACTGGACATGTGTGTGGCACACGTGTGTGTGAGGGTAGTGTGGTGACACGCATGTGTGGATACACACGTGCAGTGACGCACTGTGTGTGTGCAGCGTGTAGGAGATTCGCTCTAGTACAGTGCATAGTGATGATGAGCTTCGCTCTTCAGATGTACGAGTTGTATATACGCGACGATGCTCGTATTCACTCTTTCGGTAGTGTACGGCGTGGACATGTCACTCGAGTGTCGTGACTATATGACGAGTGTACCATGGACCATGTGCTGAGTGCGAGTCAGCTCACTGACGCAGAGTGCTGATTATGATCGATTACCGAGGTGTGATAGTGCTCTATATGGTGAGATACTAGAGAGAGTACTGTGCGTCGATATGTGTTGTATATATATAGAGTGAGCATAGACACACGTGCTCGTGAGTTCTGTGTGTGAGTAGGAGAGCTCTGTGGATGTCTGGCTATAGAGAGAGATATCCAGAGAGATGAAGACAGCTCTGAGTATTACTGATGAGAGTACTTATTGATATGAGGAGAGAGCAGAGGAGGAGAGAGAGAGAGCAGAGAGAGACACACGGATGCGTCACGAGGTCACTGTGAGGCACGAGCTTCCACGAGAAGAGTGAGACTGGTGTTAGCGTTACGAGGGAGTAAGCAGAGAGTTCGAGCTCTAGCTCGAGAGAGTATACTAGAGCAGGTGAGGAGAAGAAGAGAGGACAGCGCTCATATTCGCTCACTCTAGCTCTGTGAGATGCTGTACGTCACCAGGTTTCAGAGCGCTCTCTCGATATACTATATTGATATTATAGAGGCACTGAGCAGACTAGTGTGATGGAGTACGTGGACGTGATATCATGGAGTTAGTGGCACTCAGGTGGCGGGTGCTTGGACGGTTATTGTGTGTGTCACTGGTGAGCCATGATTTCGCTGACTGACCAGCTGTGAGTGTACACTCACTGGTCTATTCTCTCGTGTGTGAGCTGTGGTGATGACTTGTGTGAGGTGATTGTGTATATCTTAGGTGGTTATGTTGTATAGTTGCGTATATTGCATAGCCGATATGTATTGCTCCAGGTGAGTATACTGCTATGCTCACACTGAGTGAGTGAGTGGAGATGACTCGCGGCACGGAGCTTATCACGAATCTATCGGCCCAGAGACGATCGTCGTGCTGCCGAGCGAGGAGAGAAGGAAGGTGCGGTGATAACGTGGAGATCTGGAGCGAGCATGAGCACGACAACATGGCACAGTATATAGTATAGGACTCACGAGATTATATCGAGAGTAGTACACATCACCATGTGAGCGCTCTCATATATCACTCTCGTATTATCGAGAGGACGAGTGCGTGAGTGAGATACGTTCTCCACTCAGGACGTGATCAGAGATCGAGTTGCACTCGAGGTGTGAGACTCACGGATTGAGATACAGATGGAGAATATATATTATATATTATTGAGTAACTGAAGAAGAGTGAGTGATACTGAGTGTGTGGTGTGTGACAGGTGCGACGCTCGGCGTGGCTCAGATAGTGTGTTATCTGTGTGCCGTGTGAGAGACCTCACTCTCTGCTTGTGCACAGTCTATATATCGGCTAGTATCATAGTGACTATTGTGAGTGAAGAGAGTGATTATTATCTCCCCACGCCAGACACAGCGACACACACCACAGCAGACTATTCGTGAGCACTTGCGGAGAGCCATTCACTTGCACTTCTGCGCGCGTTCGCTCGCACGAACACACACAGTGCATTGTTCTTTCGCGAGAGTGAGTTGAGCACTTATTGCGCTTGCCCATAGTGACTAGTCTGTCAGCGGACTGCACCGCTCGTACGAGTCTTATATGTGTGAGAGTGATAAGACTGGGAGCAAAAAGCGGAGGTGTTATTAGATATAACGCTCTCACTCGCTCTCGTGTGCGCACTATTGATAGTATTCCTCGATGTTAGTCTTCCGCGGCTATACGGGATCAGAGTGAGAGAAGAGAGATTATAATTAGAGTCTATTCACGCTATAGTGAGCAGACGAGAGAGCACAGTGCTCGCTATAAGAAATGTTGACGCAGCGTATCACGTGGTGATATGGTGTTGTGGAGTGAGGTAGCGCTAGAGTTGTGGCGGAGCCTATATGAGAGAGAGGAGTATTGGTTGATATCAAGGACGATGGAGCGCGCGAGAGAGAGGTAGTGTAGGAGACGAGAGAGAGGAGGAGATCGCACTGTGATGCGGAGAGGAGAGCATGATGAGGAGTCTAGGAGAGTGAGTCGTGACGGAGATCACGAGCATAGACTGACGAGGAGAGAGATAGAGCAACTGAGCGAGTGAGTGAGCCACGAGACCGAGGTACTCGCGCGAGGGCACGGAGAGAGATGAGCGCTACGAGGCTGCGTTGAGGCTGGTATGAGTATTGCTGTACACATTCAGTGAGGATGCGGATGTCGATGCGACGAGATCGAAGGAATTGGCGGAGGCACGCGAGTGAGTAGGGGGCGCGCGTCGTGCAGAGCTCTCACGTCTCATGCATGACTTGTTTGTGCCACTGAGACGCCGACGTAGCTAAGAAGTGCACTAGGAACAGCTCGCAGCTGCTGGCGTCAAGCATGCAGATCTACGTACCATCGGCAGCGTGAGGAGCGTGCGGGTAGTGAGTATTTAGGATCGGCGGGAATCCTGACGAACACGTATGTTGGAGAGGAAGATTCGCGAGCACGAGCAGAGTAAGACTGCTATAGAAGACATTTAGACGAGGATTATGTGTCAGGATTGCGGGCCGGGAGGGTGAGGGCTTATGATGATGACTTACGGGCTGATGACATGGATCACGGAGCATCGATAGAGGTGGTCGTAAAGTAGAGATCGAGGTCGGGGTGGGCAGCCGAGATGAGAGAGGAGATGATCGAGAGAGGAGTCAAGGTGAAGAAGCAGAGCGCCGGATGTGAAGGGATGCGAGAGGAGAGGAGGAGCACGACTCAGCGGGCGAGTAGTCGTGGTAGCGTTGGCCATTCGGTAGCCATGAAGTCTTTGTAGACGATATGTGAGAGAGAAGAGTGACGGCTATAGTGGTCAGTGGAGTGGTGAGGTGCCGGCAGCGAGGTCACGCGCTTCCAGAGAGTGGATATAATATAGTATAGGTGATATAATATATGATATATATACAGAGAGAGAGAGAGAGAGAGGAGAGAGAGAGAGAGGAGAGAGAGAGAGAGAGAGAGAGAGAGACATACACACACACAGAGAGGAGACGAGAGAGAGAGAGAGAGAGAGAGAGAGAGAGAGAGAGAGAGAGAGAGAGAGAGAGAGAGAGAGAGAGAGAGAGAGAGAGAGAGAGAGAGAGAGAGAGAGAGAGAGAGAGAGAGAGAGAGGCAGGTATGGAGGGAGAAAGTTAATTCCAAACAGGCATACTATGCATGTTTTCCTCACAAATGAGATTGTGTTCGTAGATGAAACATTAAGAATTTTTTTTTCTAGGAATTAATAATGACTATCGTCTATCCGCCAACATACTTTCTCTCTCTTTCTCCATCTTTATCTGCTGATTTATTTATAGTCTCTGCTACTCAGTGTATGTCGCCACTCCTCTCTCTTGGCGTCTTATTTTCCTACATTTATCATTATTCCTTTGCTTTGGTCATTTTCGTTCTTTCTCCGTTAACCTTACTTTTCTCTGTATCTCTCTCTCTCTTATCTGTTTCTCGAATTTTTTAGTAATTGTTTTTCTCTCCTATTCGTTTGCTTGCCTATTCGTTTTCCCTTCTTTCCTTTGCGGATTTCCTCTGTTCTTTTGCTTCCACTTCCGACAAAAGAGGTTACTAAGAAATTTCGTTTCGTCAACGCTGCGTCTATTCATTACGTCATTTTACTTTGTGATCATTAGTATCATGACCATTGTTATTTTCACGATTTTTTTTGATGGTGTATGAAGGGCATATTATCTGATTGGACGTGCGCACAAAGATTGTTCTAGATGAGTGTATGTTGCAGCACGAATGTAGAATGTTATTAGGTTACTGAGTTACACGATATGTTGAAATCTTTCCGTATTTCTAAGATTTGTTTTTCATTCTCCGCGTCTCCTAGTTTAATTTCATTTCCTCTGTCTTTGCCTCTTTCTCTCTCTCTTTCTCTGTCTCCTGTTCGTCTTCCTCCACCATACAAATCGCCTATTCTACAATATTGTTCCCAAAATATTCTACATTTCCGTACATCCTGTCAGTGCACGCATCCATGCTGTCGTATGCAACAGTCCTTTATATCACCAGAAGATTTAAAAGTCATTATAAGGCTTAATGTCAAACCTAGTTGTTATTTTCGCCCAAAACGTTTTGTACGACCAGAAGCTCCGCCCCTTCTCTGACGTCAGGCCAATGACAGGCACCTCCTCTCGCTCTCTCTCGAACTCAAAACGTATTGCACTTCCATACTTGGGCGTCTACGTGTTCAGTACGTATTTGATTCTATAAAGACACTAGCCATATTCCTGTTGGCAGTAGACTCCAAGCGAGTAGTGAGAGAGCCACTCGCAGGAATTTCGAGTTCGGTTCTTTCATAAGGAAGAAAATTTTCCTGTTCTAACATCACGGGAAAGACCCTGCCTCTTTTCCTCTAGAATTATACATTCGTGGTGAGTGCTACTGGAGAACAACGTATAGAAAACATTTGTAATAAGTGCATGTTTCTGTGCTTAGAAGAAAAATGGAAGTGCCTATTATAAGTGAATTGCATAATACCTTTTCGGAGTTGTTTGGCTACAATTATACTTACAATACATACATCTAATATCGTCTCTATTCGTTTATTTACGCTGCCTAAGTATAGTGTCTCCATTCTATCTTTTATCCATACAAAAATTTTAAGCAATAGGTAAAGTTTACGAAGCTAAAGGCTATTTCATGTGCAAAACGTTTTGTCCCCAAAGTGCAATTAAAGAAAATTGGTTCACTGGAGGAGGGACTACGATAAAATTATTGAGAGATGTTCAGCGCACAGAAAAAAATCTGAAAATGGTAACAAGTAAAGTTATGATTTTAAGAGCAATATTCTTCTTTTCTAGGTGCTGTAGGACCAACTGAGTGAATCTTCCACCCAATCTCACAACCGTCTCACGTTGTGACGGAGGTTGTTCCCTTGTTACACTCCCACAACACACTGTAACGACGGTTGTTCCCTTGTTACTCTCACAACTTACACGCTGTAACGAGGGTTGTTCCCTTGTTACACTCCCACAACACACTGTAACGACGGTTGTTCCCTTGTTACTCTCACAACTTACACGCTGTAACGAGGGTTGTTCCCTTGTTACACTCCCACAACACACTGTAACGACGGTTGTTCCCTTGTTACTCTCACAACTTACACGCTGTAACGAGGGTTGTTCCTTGTTACACTCCCACAACACACTGTAACGACGGTTGTTCCCTTGTTACTCTCACAACTTACACGCTGTAACGAGGGTTGTTCCCTTGTTACACTCCCACAACACACTGTAACGACGGTTGTTCCCTTGTTACTCTCACAACTTACACGCTGTAACGAGGGTTTTTCCTTTGTTACTCTCACAACTTACACGCTGTAACGAGGGTTGTTCCCTTGTTACTCTCACAACTTACACGCTGTAACGAGGGTTATTCCCTTGTTACACTCCCCCAACTTACACGCTGTAACGAGGGTTATTCCCTTGTTACACCCCACATCCACCACCACCTCCCCCTCCCCACCACATGGCTCCCCCTCACGGAACCAGCCTGGCTCTGCGCTCCATGGTCCGCATCCCCGGAAGCGGCTGGGACCGATCTGCGAGCGCCGTCTGCTGCGACTTCTCCAAGGTGTCGACCCTGGCTGCCTCCGCCGTCACGCCGCAGCCGCTGCCTCTGCTCCACCAAAAGCTCTCCTCGCGGCCCTCTCCTGCAGCCTCCAACATGGACAAGCTAGCTGCTGACGAAGCTCAGAAGAAGGTCTGCGAGGAAGTGGCCGGGGGCTCCCGGAAGCGCACCTCTCAGCACACCCATCTGCCACCCGGGCCGTCGAGTTCCAAGCTTGCCAGGGCGTCGAACGAGACTCCGAAGACGCCGTCGGGTGTGGCGAGACAAGCGAACCCGCCGAGAGTTCAGGGAAGAACAGTAACTCCGGCGAAATTAGAGGAAAGAACAGTAACCCCGTCCGCCTTGCAAGTCGTCATGCTCCGGCCGGTGCAGCAGATAGCAAACTCGCCAGAGCAAATGCAGCCTGTGCCTACGATACAAGGGACACTGCAGGGGCGTCCTGTAACGCTAATACCCGTTACCTATCTGGCCGGAATTCCCTCGTCCTCGGCTGTAGCGGGGAGAGCGCCGTCGTCGTCGTCCTCAAAAGCAGCAGTTAGACCGACAGTTCCTATCGTGACAATGGGACCAGCTGTAGGCAGGGTTGCAAAGAAAATCCAACCTGTGCCCTCAGGTGTAATCCTCCAGACAGCTACAACAGAACCTCTCCAGCACGTTCCTGTAACCGAATCGTCCATCCAGAAATTGGTGGAAGAATCGCAACAGCTCCGGCGGCAGAATGCGATCCTAAGCCAACGGCTGACGCACTACCAGGAGATGTTCTCTGACGGCCAGAGACTCAGGAGAGAGATGAGCACTTTAGGAATTCAGGTGTACTAGGAGATAAATGATTTTAGTAAACTGTTTTTATTTACTCAACTTTCTTTGGCATTCCCCTCCATGTAGATGCACACTACCCTTGCCTGTATATTGTAATAAAATGGTAGAAAATTAAGTACTAGATTAAAAGAGAAAAGATGAAAAGGAAAACACGCACATATATAAACAAACATAGACATACATACACACACACACAAATGTCCACATACATTTTTTTTCTTCTATACATGCAAAATAGATATTGTGAAATATATGTGCTTACATATGATGAATATTCTATAATGATTATTTTAGTAAGTTTATATCACCCTTGAAAATTTATACAGGGGAAGAAAATGATTTTACGGAAAGTTAGAATTTGTCTACATATGTATGCACATATACACATACATAAATATCAACAACCATATATCCATGTACAGTATACATACACATGCATGTTGCGATGTTATACACATTTCTGCACGTATATGTATGGAGAAATGATTTAGTTATGGTGATTCAAGTCAAGGAATTATGCGCATTCTTGTGCATTTCTGTATTTTGCGCATTCCAGTATTTAACTATAATTATGTAAACCCAGCTCTTAGAATGTTGTCCCTCCATACCCTCACTGCCTTAAAATTATACGAAGAAAATTTTACAGTATCAAGATTATGAGAAAATTTGCATTTTTCCTCAATATGTTACTCGAAATAATAGCTTATGCGATTGTTAAGCTTGGGATATTCTATTAATCCGAACTATTATACTCTCAAACTATCTATTGTGTTGTTAGCTTCAGTGATCCTGAAATAAAGTTTCTTTTTTCACCTTCACTTGTGTATTGATTTTGGCAAATTAAATGAAATATATAATTGGGACTTTTCATGCTTTTTATAGTGATCCCAAAACAATAAACAAGGACATTTACAGTGACGCCTTCATTGATGGAATCCCATACTTTCTTCACTGAAAACCTGTTCTCCTTCCTCAGACACATACATATCCTTCACTTGACCTAATCCTCTCCAGTTTATTCCTATCTTGACCCAATAACTCACCCTTCCAAAACCATCCTGCTACTGCTGACGTATAACACCTAGCCAAGAACTCTCCCCCATCTCTACCCTTCCTTATACTGTACCTCCTTATAATCTTTGTGCTACATGGCGAAGCTTCGATGTCTAGCACATTAATTTCGCTTCTAAGCATTAACCTAACTTCTCCGTCTCCAGTAGGGATTCCCATGACAGGGTTTCGTAACAAAATTCATAACTAAATACGTGGAAATAGAGAAGTAAGATAAGTCGGAACAGGACAACAGGGCTGAGGATCACACTGACACTTTCATTCTCACTCACACAGTTATCGTTACACACACACAAACATTGCATACATATGATTTGGAGTTACTGATCTAATAGAAACCCTCTTGTATTGAAACCTTCCTTATACAAGACCGATCAGGTAGGCAAGGTCACACTCTCCCGCTAAGACCATTTTAACCTACTTTTTGTTAACCTTAAAGAATGTTTTGTCTACCTTAAAGATGGTGATCGGTAATGGACACAAAATCGTGAAGAAATGAGGACACGGTGCCATATGACACTTTGGATTTAAGCCTATAAACTACAAACATGTCTCTCTTATAAGGTTAAAGAAACAGACAACGCATAGGATTTGTAGTTACGAAGGTTCGTGCGTTCGTATCCCCGAGATACACGACGGTTAATGTTGTCAAAGCCGAGGTTATTTAAAGATCGGCCTTGGGAAATTAATTATTTATGAAACATAATTATCGTTGCCTTCTATTCTGAAGATGATTTTATTCTATTTTTTTTTATTTTTCATTTTAAGGATTTTGCCAAACCTTAAAATCCTGGTGATATCAGATTCAATAAGAATTGTCAAACTGTTTCAATCTTTCTATTGTACTGATACGGCAAGTTTATGAAAATTGTGCAAGGTGGAAAAAAATATTCGTAAACTTGACATGCATAATTAAAGAAATAAATGCATATTTATCAGTCTAGACATACATATCAACCGGACAAATAGATAGATAAGTCTATATCTATCAGATATATAGACATATACGTATTTATTCCTGTATATATGCCTGTCTGTGTTTATGAACATTCATTGGGTCGGGCCTTGCACAATTTTAACAAACCGGCCGATAGTCTCGAGTTCACCTTCGTTAATTTCAGCTTCGAAAACCTTGTTTCAGGAAGGAATACAAACTTTTCCATGGCGTTTTGAATCTCTGGGCCGGTTGAATTGGTATACTTTCTAACCTCATTTCCTCGCAAAATATCGGCCGATTTGTTAATACACACATAACTAAAACAAACCTATCATTCTAGACACTTATATCTTACCGGATAATTAATGTACACTATTACACAAAGAGACAGACATGCATTTATTTCTGCATATAAGCATGTCCATATATATATATATGTATATATATATATATACACCGTTGAGGCCGCGCAGGTTTAACAAATTGATGCATGCAGCCAGACACGCGAGCCAGATTTGTATTTTTGTTATATTTTTTTCGTGCTGTAAGGGCTAACATGAGTACCAGAGGCGGTCAACATCGATGTCGTATGTAACACACACACCACACACACATACATACACACACACACACCACACACACACACACGACACACACAGACACACACACACAACACACCACACACACACACACACACACACACACACACACACACACACACACACACACACACACACACACACACACACACACACACACACACACACACACACACACACACACACACACACACACACACACACACACATATATATATATATATATATATATATATATATATATATATATATATATATATGAATACAAATATCTGCGTATGTAGATACGTGTCTCAATCGATTATCTGCATGCGTGTGTGTGTGCGTGTGTGTGGTATGTGTGTTTGTGTGTACACACATATAAATACATATATAAGTGTGTGATATGTATGTCTATATTACACAGTATATATGTATATGTACATATATGATACATATATGTATATTTATATGCACCACATATGTTTGTGTGTGTCTAAATGAATATATATATATATTATATATATATATATATATATATATATATATATATATATAATATTACATATATATGTGCATGTATATGTATATATATGTATATATATATTATTTGTATATAATTCATATATATGTATACACACACACACATTTATATGTATATTATATAATATATATATATATATATATATATATATATATGTTTATCTCTCTCTCTCTCTCTCTCTCTCTCTCTCTCTCTCTCTCTCTCTCTCGTCTCTCTGAATATATATTAATATAATAATATTATATATATATATATGTATATATACTAATATATACATACAAATTTATATGCATATAAATATACGCAAGCTGTTAATACATATAGATATATATATATATATATATATATATATATATATATATATATATATATATACATACATATATATATATATAAAAAAGTATACACACACACACACACACACACACACACACACACAACACACACACACACACACACACACACACACACCATATAATATATATATATATATATATATATATATATATATATATATATATATATATAATATATATATATCATAATATAACAGACACACATTCATGCATACAAGCACGCTCTCACGCACTCGCATACGTTTCATACGTGTGCATGCATTTTCACTGCATACAAGCATATTAGAACCTACAACGTGACGTCATGAGATTGATCAAAGAAAACATCAGTAAGGGGAGACTCACATATATGTCATGGAGTTGCTCTCTCTCTCTCTCTCTTTCTCTCTCTCTCCTCTCTCTCTCTCTCTCTCTCTCCTCTCTCTCTCTCTCTCTCTCTCTCTCTCTCTCTCTCTCTCTCTCTCTCTCATCTATCTATCTATCTATCTATCTATCTAATTCATCTTTCTTCCCTTCTCTCTCCCTCTTTCTTTCTATTTTTCCTTCTCTCTCTCTCTCTCTCTCTCTCTCTCTCTCTCTCTCTCTCTCTCTCTCTCTCTCTCTCTCTCTCTCTCTCTCTCTCTCTCTCTCTCTATCTCTATCTATCTATCTATCTATCTCGCTCTGTGTGTGTGTGTGTGTGTGTGTGTGTGTGAGTGTGTTTGTCATCTATCCGTCTGTCAGTTTGCCTGTCTCTCTCTCCCCTTTATCTCTGTCTCTCTCTCTTTCTCTCTCTCTCTCTTCTCTTCTTTCTCTCTCTCTCTCTTTCCTTTCTCTCTCTCTCTCTCTCCCTCTCTCCCCCTCCTTTCTCCCCACCCCTTTCCTCTCTCCCCTCCCCAAATCCTCCCAAACAACCCCATCCTAAAAAAAAAAAAAAAACACAAAAAAATCAAATCAAGAAACAAAATAAAACAAAACAATACCACCCAGAAAAAGACTATATTATACACCAATCTATCACAAATGAAATAGTCTTAAAAGAAAGAGAAAAGAAAACTCCTCCACCAAAGTCGACCACGGAATCGAACACATGGCACCGGCTTCGGCCACACCCGCATTGGGCAACGTGGGCGGACGTGTTCTCTTGCTCTCTCTTCGTGTAAGTGAAATAAATCCCCTTTTTTCTTCCTATTATTGAAGGGGGATATGATTTTGATCGGGTTTTGTCATGATCTGAGGAGGTTTAACTTTTTTTTAATCATGGTTGTGATTTGGAATTATTTTTTCTTTCGTTTTTTTGTTTTTAAGTGATTTTCTTATATGTTTTTGTTATTTTTTTATTATTTTGTATTTGTCAAGTTTTGCTTGTCATGGTATCATGTTTACATCTGTTTATACCTCTAGGAATTGTTTTAATTAATGGATTAAAGCTTTTATTAGATTTCCATTATTTTTTTCCATCATGTAAAGCAGAGCATGAATCAACATTTTTGAGAAGAATGGATTTTTTTTTTAACTTTTTTTCTCGGACAAACGCTATCAATTCTCGATTTGATTATTCCCTGTTATTGCTTATTTACTGGTTTTGATATTTGTCGCCTTTTTAATTCCCTTTCCTTTTTCTTTTTTTACCAATTTTTCGTCGTATTGATCTTCCAAAATTATGATCTGTAATTTTGAGTGATATTCTGGCATTGATATTTTTCGAGGGAACATTTTTTTCGCATGGACTCGAGCTTTGGTAAATGTTCAGAAGATGCGCGCATGTCTGCCGTTTGGCCTCCTGTTAATTGCCGCAGCATCCGCGTCTGTTGGTGCTCGGGGCAAAAGCCATTAACCCTCCGCTAAGTTTGTTATCGTAAGGGCGTGCTTGTAGGCCTCGCTTTTTAGTGTCGGATAAAGAATTATCGGAAACCTGTCTTGCGAGAAAGTGTGTGGATAAGGGTTGATAGGGTAGGCTAGGGTGTGACGCGAGGTGGCTGCGGTAATTGGCTGTCGGCGCATTACCACGATGTTTAATTTCAGATGGGTCGGTTAGCATAGATTGTGGTTTGCAAGCAGATTTGATACATAAAGACAATTGATTTTTTTTTTTTTTTTTTTTTTAATATAGCATATCATAGTAAAAATAAATAAAAACTGCTCAAAATAGCTGTGTGCAGAGATAGAGAAAAAGCAATGTAAGTCCATTTAAAAGAATGATGATAATTAGAAAAAATAAATAAAAAAACAAATAAAAAGTACCATTAGGTATGAAAATAATTGATATAATGGAAGCCTAGCCTTACTAATCAAAATGTGATAGATCTGTCAAGTGAAATGATGGCTACCATATTCCGCACTCAAGCAATTTTGAACAGAACTCCACCTTATCCATTTTTGCAAAAGTACTTTTAGATCTCCCTCAGTTTCTAATAAAGATAAACAGCTTCTTGAATGATCAACGTTTTGCTTATTTTGATAGGGCTTTAGATGTGAAATCTGTCATGAGCTGAATGTTTTTTTTCTTTTCTTTTTTTTCTTCTTCTTTTTCTCTAATGACAAAATATGAGTTTGAGTACTTGTGTAGCACTTTGTGTGAAATTTGCTTATTTGAAATCTCTAGCATATACATACTTCAGATAATGAGATATTATAGCATAAGTAAAACTGTAGTGAAATCATTGAACACTTACTAGCAATATGAATTGGTGTCAATAATTTTATGGATAATTTGTTGATAAACTAAAGCATATTTGAGGAGGCCAGAGATGTTTTTGCCGAAATTTTTATTTATGACGATATATTTGTTTTGATTGCAGGAGGATGTATTTCTTGTTGAAACTGAAATATAAATGGATAAAAAAGCTGACATAATTTTTTTTCTCTTATCTGCCTGTGTGATATTATATCTTATTGTATGTCTAGTCTCATGATTTTTAGTATAGGTATTTATCTGCCTTGTTGTCACTTGTATGTATATATGCTGTACAATATATACAGCATTTATATAGGTGATATTTTTATCAAGGCTATCTGTACACTTCTTAGCAGAAATAGAAGATGACTAGGCAGCATAAAGTGCAATTTTACTTATTTTATGTTGCCGATAATTCTGTCAGAGATTTTATTTTCCTCTTTCTTTGCTCTAGGGTAGTTAAACTGCACCCAGAATAAGAGAAACCAACGTAAGGTAGTGCAATGGGGATTCTGCCTAGATTGCATGTGGTAAAATTGTAATTTCAAGTCCTGGTAAAAAAGTGTAGTGATATCCTGTAAGAGCATGATGAACACACAAATACATATTTGCATACACAAATTCACAGATACACATGCACATGTATGCACGTACACACATACAGTATACACATATATGCACATACACACATACAGATATACACATATATGTATAGATACACATTTACATATAAACATACATATGCACATATATGCATATACTCATGTGTTCATATACAACACCCATCAGATAGAATGTCCAGAGATACGCACATGGTATGACATAGTACTCTGTCTATATCTGATATGAAAAAAATTGGCTGAAAGATATTGATTACAGGGTAACTTTACCGATTTCCCCAACATTCATGCAGAGTGAGACCATAAAAGCAGTGTGTCATTCACATGTCAGTCAATCATGAGTGACATATGAGTGACAAGAATGGACCTGTATTTTTTTTAAATTTGTACATGACAACCCTCTCACAGCATACTTAGTGATGTACAAACCATGTGCGTCACATAATGTAAGAGTAACGGAAGAGTTCCAATTAGGGCTATATACATGTGAAATTGCCTGGCAAACCCTTTAAATCCTCACAACACACAGGAGGATGACTACCTTCTCACAGTAGGTACACCGCCTTCCAGTAGTGCATGATCTCCGGAGATAGAAAGTAATAACAAATCCCATCCTTATTGCAAGACAGTTAATGGACCATATTACTCAGAGAGGCTCCATTATTATTATTATTATTATTATTATTATTATTATTATTATTATTATTATTATTATTATTATTATTATTATTATTATTATTATTATTATTATTATTATTATTATTATTATTATTATGATAATAATAATAATAATGATTATGAGAATGATTATTAGAATGATTATTGGGATAATGAATAGTATATAAGATTTTTTTTTTTTTTTTTACAAATGTCAACCATTTTTTTTCACAGAACTAATTATTAGGAACATTGATTTGGAAATAAAAATAATTAAAGCACACTTTCATTCCTCCTAATGCTAGGTTACCTGCCATCAAAATGTCTTCCACCATGAACGGTGTCGAAAGCGACGACGAAACCCCACAGGTGTCGATCACAAGTGAGAGTGATGATGACCTACCGCAGCTTTCGGCAGGGACGATGGCAGCCCTAATGGAGTTCTTCAAGGAGGAGGAGGAGAGGAAGGATAAGCTGCGGCAGATTGAGGAGGGAGAGATCCCGGACACCTTTGAGGAGGACTGGGTAAGTGGGGAGGAGCCGGAGAGATTGGAGAGATGTTTGTTTACATTGTGTTGTGTTAAACTATATTGATCTTTGTTACATTATAACATTATGTTGATTTGAATGATATAGAGAGACCATCGTTCTTATTACCATTGGCTTTCACATTTTGACACAAGGGGAAAAAAGATAATATTTATTGTATGGATGTTAAGGGGGTTTTATTTATATTTAGTCATCTATATATTTATGTTGGTGTGTTTTATCAAAATTTCTAATTTATTTGTATATCTGCTTCAGAAGGGATCTCCCATTTTCCTTTGCCTTCATATTTTTTTGTCCAGCATTTGTCTCAGTAATATAAAATATCCATACTCATTTTAGTAACTTTCTACATAACCTTTTCTGAAATTATTATTTGTTTATTTATTACCTCAACCAAGGAGGTTATGTTTTTGGTAGCAGGTTAGAAGGATAACTTAAAAAGTTATGAAGTGAGGTGTGTCTGAGTCCAACTTCAAATGCCGTTAAATTTTGGTGGTGATTGGAACAATGATTAGGATCCAGGATTTTTTTTTTTTTTAAAGGAGTCATTAGCATTGTGAGATATGGAAACATGGACATCACAAATTGATGTAATTCTTCAAGTGTGAAAATTTTTATTGTATCATTAACCCTATTGCCTATTGCCTCTGAGTGCTTCTTGTTATTGTTTTTATTTCATGTATTCACTCAGTTGTTTTATTGTTATTGCATATGTCTTTTAGGGGCTCATTGAGCTATTTTCAGTATCCTACACTGCTTTGTAATCCATTGTAAAGTCATATTTTTATGGAGAAATGGGGACAGATTTTGTAAATAGCATGATGTACACTCATTTGAATAAATGTGTGTTTGAGTATATGACTGCTACATCCACACATTCTCATATTTTAGAAATAAAATTGTTTTAGACAGTGCTCAGGCTCTGCTAAATTCAGTTCATATTTTCATATTAAGATATTCTAATTGCTTCTTTTTAAGCTTATAGAATTAAAAAAAAAAAAAAAAGTCTAAGTCTGAGACAATCCAGGAATAGGATCAGAAAGGGTATCTGCACACTTTATTAATATGAAATAAAAATGTTGCACAAGCTAAACATATAAATCTTATCTTTCAGAACATGAGTCAGTTTTGGTATGCAGAAGAAACCTCAAATTCCCTAGCCCAAGAATGCCTGAGACTGGCAGGGAACAACGGGACCATTGCTTGCGTGTCTTCGCCAACCCTTTACAGAACCCTAAGGGGAATGGACCATGAGTGCAAGTGTGAGTTTTGTCTCTTAGGGGTTTGCCAGATGAGTGTTTGTTATTATTTTTGAATATTTATTACTATGTAGGGCATGATTTTTGAAAGTAATTTTCATTGTTTTGCGAACTGTTTTTGCTGGTTGTTTCACTGTTTTAATGGCAGGTTGTCTCACTGTTTTAATGGCAGGTTGTTTCACTGTTTTAATGGCAGGTTGTTTCACTGTTTTAATGGCAGTTGTTGTTAATGGCAGGTTGTTTCACTGTTTTAATGGCAGGTTGGTAAAGAATGAGTAACAAGTTGATACTATTGGTGTAAATAAAACTTTGGTCTTGTGTTATTTATTTAGGTCTGCTAAACTTTTCTTTCTCTCCATGTCCTCTCTCTATCTCTTTTTTTTTCTCCTCCATCTAATGGCAGGTTGTTTCACTGTTTTAATGGCAGGTTGTTTCACTGTTTTAATAGGTTGTTTCACTGTTGTTTCAATGGCAGTTTTCACTGTTTTAATGGCAGTTGTGTTTCACTGTTTTAATGGCAGGTTGTTTCACTGTTTTAATGGCAGGTTGTTTCACTGTTTTAATGGCAGGTTGTTTCACTGTTTTAATGGCAGGTTGTTTCACTGTTTTAATGGCAGGTTGTTCACTGTTTTAATGGCAGGTTGTTTCACTGTTTTAATGGCAGGTTGTTTCACTGTTTTTAATGGCAGTTGTTTCACTGTTTTGGCAGGTTGTTTCACTGTTTTAATGGCAGGTTGTTTCACTGTTTTAATGGCAGGTTGTTTCACTGTTTTAATGGCAGGTTGTTTCACTGTTTTAATGGCAGGTTGTTAAAGAATGAGTAACAAGTTGATACTATTGGTGTAAATAGAACTTTAGTCTTGTGTTATTTATTTAGGTCTGCTAAACTTTTCTTTCTCTCCATGTCCTCTCTCTATCTCTTTTTTTTTTCTCCTCCATCTCTGTCTCTTCTCCACCCTTTCCCTTTCCCTTTTTAGCTTTCCATCCCTCCTCCTCTCTTGTCCTCCCTCATTTTGTTCTTCTCCCCCATCTTTCTTTTCTCCTAAACGTCTTTCCTCTTTTCTCCTTTTATCTTTATCTCCTAAACTTTTCCCCCTTTCACCCTTCCTTTATCCTCCTCTACTATGCATTCTCATTCCTTCAAATGAGATCAGACAGAATTACTGTAGTGCATACACCATAATCATCATCATACAAAAATTATCTGACTTCATCTTGAACTAACGATTTCTACCTCCGGATCATGTTGCAGTGCGAGTACTGGAATATGACACAAGATTTGCCGTCTATAAGGAAGACTTTGTCCTCTATGACTTCAAGAATCCCCTTGCTGTGCCAAGAGATTTGAGGCAGGAGTTTGATGTAGTGGTGGCAGACCCCCCATACCTGGATGAAGATTGCCTTGCCAAGACGGCTATCACCATCAAGTACCTGATGAAGACGGACGCGAAATTGATCTTGTGTACGGGCACAGTGTTAGAAGAACTTGCGGACCGTTTGCTAGGGGTTAAAAAGTGCAAGTTTGAGATTAAGCATGATAAACAGCTGAGCAACCCCTTTTCTTGCTATGCTAATTATGACTTGGATAGTTTTTGTGAAAGTTGATAATGGGTTTAATATATTATATCTCTTATTTAACAAATTATCCATTGAAGAATTAAGCTTGCAGGAAGCGGAGATCATCTGTGCTAAAAAGTCTTGTTTCGGCAAGCAGTGGCGTTGTGGTGTGTCCCGTGCTTGTGTCAGACAATAAAAGTGATAAAAAATATAGATAATTGTTGTGATATGCATTTTTTTTTTCAAATATGATAGATACCAAACTAATATAAAAAAGTGGTTTCACTTTGCTATGTAACAGTTCCATTGATATGTAGTATGTGTCATTTTAAGGATGCCTTACGTATTATAGGATCTCAAAGCCTCTATGACAATAAGTGTCTATAATTAACTGCAATTACTTTTCCACATTTTAGGCCTTTTTATATTTTGTATATAATTTTTCATTCTGATCATGAGTTTGGAAATGAGAATGCAAGTAATGATGAGGATCTGTATAGAATGAAGGTAGACTTACCTGATGTTAGATGAACAGTGATTGTACAAGATGTTACAAGTAGGAAGATGTTGCCTTTTATTATCATGTTATGATATCAGTATGGATATATAAGATTATATGACCTTTGTACACTTGTTACTGAGTAAATTCAGTAATTTCCTTGGTTCTAATCTCATTATTTGTTGAAAAAAGGAAGAAATTTTATCAATGTTCACACAGTTATGAACGTTTACCTTATGAGATGTGTTAGCTGTTATGTAAACTGTGTAACAGGCAGCCAAGCTGTATTTTTGTGAATTATTATTATTTTAATTATATTTGTTATCATTATCACTATTTCTCTTCTGTCCTGTTGATTACACTTGAGATGCATAACAGATTCCCACTTTCTGTACTAATTCAGATGAACAGACAGAATACTCAATATGCTCATGTGAACATTCTAGTCAGGTGCCTCAAATATAATGTTATCCTCTTCACTTATCCTTGTTAATGTTTTCATGTTCCATGGATTTCTCAGCAGTGTGAACAACATAGAGATGATGTTTGGTTAGTCTGGAGCATATGTAATCACTGACCATTTTCATATCACTGCTGAGGGGAGTGAGGTTTGGTGTGGGACAAAGAAAGTGGTTAGTATTTTCCTTTTCTCTCCTCCTTCCTTTCTGAAATGATTTCTTTTTTTCTGACTTTTTCCCTTCATTCTTGCTCTAATGCTGTCAGTTTTGTAGTGGCTGAAAATGCTATTAATACTTCAAGGGATTGATCAAAAGTGCCATTTTTTTCTGTGGGAGGAATGCCTTACACTGTAAGACTATATATGTATATATATGAATGTATGTATATGTGTATATAACTGATCATTGTGACAGCTGGCAAAATTTGGAATTTTGCAGGAATCTTTTTTTTTTTTTTTTTACTTTTGAGGTTTATTTTTCACAGAAATTGTACAGAGCTTAGTAGAATTATTCTTTCTAAATTATTAATGTTCATTTACAAAGACTTTGCATTTTGACTTTGGGTAATAGTGTTCATATATTTACATTAATGTCATAACTGAAAGTGGTACCTCCCCCCTTGCATTTCCTTCCACTGAATAGGGGTAGGATATCGGCCAAAAGCCAATAATAGTGACTCCCCAATAATTTAACACCTTGACAAAGGTTCTTTGTTGAACATATTGTACCACCTTTGTTCGGGTCATACTGGCTTTTACTGAATTTGAATGGCAGTTGGTTAATGATTAAAACAAATCAGTGTGCAAGACATCAATGGTTATATACCACTATGGTAAAGTATCGTGTCAAAAAGGGGTAAAAATAAGTTTAAAGTAAATACTATTTAGGGTTGAATCATGAGTGTACTAACATGTGGTAAAGCATACTTATGATTGGGGTAATCTGATAAATTGAGTCGACTTGTCTTCTTCTTCTTCTTTTTTTTTTTCTTTTTTTTTCTATTAAAATCATGTATTGAATTTCCGACGGAGACTAGTTGTTCTAATGGCATTATCTTGTGTTCCAACGATTAATATCTCGGACAAGTGAATACCTCATTATACTGAAGAGAATCCTCCATGCACAACCCCATTCTGTCAAGCAACATGTTAGTAGTCACTCATTCCATTCTCACTTTTTTGTGGAACCAAACATGCAGATATTGTATGGATATGCAATTCAGGAAATATCATTTGTTGTACATGTTCTCCTCAAATTGATGTAACCTTTGGTAGATGTCATGAAAAGTGAGATTTGTATAAAGATTCCAGTTTCCCCATTTCTCTCTCATGCTATATTGGTATCTCCCGAACCATTTGAATCCCGGTGAGGTCTATAAACTCTGGTCCTGTTAAGGATCTAAATTATATGTAGCATGTTTCCAATAGCATTTGTGTTATTCAGATATTCAATTTAATCAAGTATATACAAATAATCCAAGCCATAATATTAGTCCCCATAGTTTTTGAAATTGTTTATTCATGTTATTACTTTTATCTGGCTCCTTGAAATAAAAGTTTTCTTCCAAATTTTTTTGGGAAGTTGAGTTTGAGAAGCATTATGCTGCACTGTGTATGCTCAAAACCACTTGTCTGGTGATTCTTTTCCCCTCACAGTGAAAATGGGTTTGGCATGTAGGCCTAATGTAGCTATCCACTGCTGGTATATGGATAGGAGAAACACTGTTGTAAATTGTCCGTTCAGTGTTATACCTTGCATGTGATTTTTTTCTGTGCAAGTTGTGAATGCATTTAGTATAGAATTTATTATTCTAAAGGATTTTTGTGGGAGATTTCAGGAGAATGGGATTTTATTCCGCATCATGTAAATGAGAATGAATAATAATCAACAAGGAAATTTAACAAAAAAAGCAACAAAACAGAGCATGTATGACTTTTTCTTAAAATCAAAACTTTTGCTTAGGCTCCGGAGAACATAAGTAGTCCTTATTAAAGTGATAACAATAGTAGTAATAATAAGGCATCATGTAATGTGTTTGTATCCACCTTCTTTTAAAGAAAATTTTTACTTCATACTTTTCTGACCTGATCTATAAGCTGCTGAATGTGTAAGCAAATAACATCAGTTTATAATTTCCTTGTCCTTTTAGAAACTGACCACATTGTTCTTTGTCAAGTGCAGAATTATGTCTCTCAATGTATAAACCAAAGCCAAGGAGATTTTGCACAAACATTCTGGTATCTAGAATGCCTTTTCCTTTCTCTTCCCCTTATTTTCATGTATAGGATTATTCTTGATTACTTAGAAAGTATTGTTTCAGTATTTCCTGTATGATATTTAATTACCATTTGTTAAATTGCTAATCTTTCAGGAATGCAGATTATAGATTTCCTTTCCTTTGCTATTTCCATAAATCTAAAAGAAATTTAATATTCATGTTTTTGTTGCCATTTTCAGTACGAGTTTAGATTTATATAGGACTTGGTTGAAAATTTATCTGATTTTTTTTTTTTTTGCTTAAGATTGTGCACGCAATTTAAAGATGACCTTTTGAAAATGACTAAGATATTAAATAGTGAGGGCTAGGGCCAGTTCCAAAATTATAATTGCAAACCACATCTCATTTTCATATCGTTATTGGATTGGTTCCTCTACTGATGTAGAAGAGAGAATTTCCTTACTGCTTATGGATATGGGAGGATAACTTAAGATCCTAAGAAAATGCTCTGCTTACCTTGTCTGTAATAATAATAATATACCAGTTAGACTGTAGAAACTATAATAAACTTGCTGCAGCATTTCAAAGTAATTCAAACAGAGTAACCTAATTCATATATTATTATTAAAAAAAAAAAAAAACTTTCAAAGCTAATTTTGAGACCTGCATTTACTGTGTCGGCAGGAGACCAAGGGTATAATTAGCCAAAAATAAAGGGAAGCTTGACAAAGATTACTGGAGAATAGCATTGAATGACAGGAATTTTTAATGATGCTCAAACCACTTTTGCTCAGAGAAATAGGAGGTGGACAACTGGGGAATGAGACAAGGGATCAGTGGGAAGTGTCAGGAGGGGGAGGATCCGGGGAAGGGCACTTGTGACAAAAGGGAGTCATGTGCATTCAGGAGGGACCCCCCTCCCAATTACTTGCTCATTATTGAGAGGGGGCATATGAGACGGAGTAAGTATATTGCAAGAAATGTGCTGGACATCAAAGGTCATATAGCACTATGGTATTGTACTGTGGTAGGAGGGTTTTATAAAGGTCTTTGTTAGATAGGAGACGGAGACTTAGGCCTAAGGTAGGGGAAAACCCCTACTTTGGATCCCAACCCTTGCTGTAACTAACTTTGCATGGTCTTTTCTTCTCCCCCTTTCCTTTTCCTTCTCTTTATCCCTCTTCCGACTTCTTAAGTTGTGAGAGCTGTAATGAAAGGATGAAAGGCAGGCTTTGTGTCAGTCCTGAATGGCCTTTGCACTCCATTTGCTCTTCCCACTTTACCCCTTTCACTACCGTGCGAATCGACAGCCCTGTGCAACTTTTGACATCTAACACATTTGGTGATCTAATTGTTGATTCATATTTACCCTTTTCTCCACAATATTTTATCATAGTGCTGTATGACCTTTGAAGTCTGGTACCCTGATTTGTTTTTACCAATACCCATTCTGGAAATCCAAAAACATTGCTTTATGAACAAAAAACTTCCTCAACCAGGGACTTCACCCCAAGGCCCCACCCTATTGCTATATTTTGAATATGCTGTTTATGACCTTCGATGTTGACATGGCAGAAAATTTTCAATAAATAAAATAAATATCCAGGAGGGAGTGGAAGGGATAACAGGGAAGGAATGGAGTATTAAGGGAAGTGGTAGAGATTGCAGTGTTTGGATTTAGAATGGCAAAGAATTTGACTGGGAGAGAAAGGGGGGTAGAAGTTGGAACAGAAGTAGGAGGAAGAGATACTGGGGGAAAAGTAAAAACACATTTGGAAGAAGAGGGTGAGGCAGAGTCCAGCACTGGAGTAGAGAGCAAGAGCAAACCTTTGTTGGCATGCTTGTCTGGCTTCATGTAAAGTGAGGCCAAGTTTGAATCTGAGGACTGCTACCTCAGACTCAAACTTGCAAGTAGGGCAGCTCCTATCAACATATATAACGGAAGCCATCATAAATGGCATATGTGCATGATTGTGCTGAGCAGTTTGAACAATCATGGCCAGGTTGGGCATGTATTTTATTTATATATTGAAAAATTTCTGCTGTGTCAACATCCAAGGTCATTAACGGCATATCCAAAATATAGCAATAGGGTGAGGCTTGGGGGCAAAGCCCCCTGGTAACAAAAGGTCATAGAGCATTGTGATAAACTATTGTGGCAAAAAGGTTAAACATGAGTAAACAATTATGACAATATGTTTAATGTCATAGGTTTTTGAGAGCTGTTGGTTAGTATGGAAGTGAGAAAGTTAAAAAGGAAATAGCAAATGGAGTACGAAGGCCGTTCAGGACTGACAAAGCCAGTCCTTCATCCTTTCAGCACAGCTCTCACTTTAGGATGTGGATAGAAGGGAATGAAGAAGAGAAAGGAGAAAAGAAGTAAAGACCATGCCAAATTTGTTGAGGAGAGGGCTGAGGTCCAAGGCGGGGGTGATCCCCCACATTGGGGGTCAGTCTCCGTCTCCTAAGCCCCTTCATGACAACAACGAACATGGGATTGGGGGGTTGGGGGTTGGGTACATAGAAGGCTGTGGAGCAACAGTGTTTGGTAGAATGCCCAAACTCCCAACACTTCTAAAATTGATGGGGTGAGGTATATATGGCTGTACAGGGCAAGATTCTCCACCAATATAAACTCCATGGGGGAGATCATCGTCTACAGAACATAATCTTGGCAATATTGGTGTCGGACTTTCAATGGCCTCTTAGGGGAATAGTGTAGCACTGTTCTAATACTGTGTCATAGTCAATGGGGCAGGTAAGCATTAATCGAGTGAGGCTGGAAAGGAATACGCTTACCATTGAGGTCAGTTAGGTTTGACAATGCACTTACTTGGGACTCCGATGTACCTGTGACAAGGTGTGAATGATCGGAAAAGCTGCGGAAAGTACCTTTGCCTACTTAATTTTGAAGACATTGTTGGAAGAGGAGGGTATTGTCAGAGTAAGAAGCTGTAGGGGGAATCACAAGAAAATGATAATCTTACAGGCTGAAAAGAGAACTAAAAAAAATTTGTGGGGAAGGATGTGGATGGCAAGAATAGTGTGGTGTTGAGAGGTAGTACTGGGAGAAGGTGAACAATAAGGATGAATAGTAGTAATCAAGGAGGGAGGTTGAAAATGAATAAGATGAAATGGAGGATGTTGGGAGAGAGGAAGGAATGTTTTCTGAAGAAACCGAGTATTGAGGAGGGGAATGGTTAATGGTTAATTGTTAAAAGCGAAATAAATGTGCTAGACATCTGTCATATAGCACTAAAGGAGGGTATAGTAAAGGGTGGTCAGGTGATAGTTGCTATGCGTCAACTATCTAGAGTAATGTTGAAAGGTTGAAGATGGGTAAGGGGTTTTTGAGAAAGGTAAGTAATAGCAGTGTGCAAAGTTGTGATCAATGGAGTATCAGGGGTTCAGGAACTGGAAAAAAGTCATTGGAGATATTTGGTAAAAATGGGCAAGCCTCAATGCCCCTAATAAAGGTACAGAACCAATATTGTCCGTGGTAAACCTAGAAGAGAAATGGTTCACCCTTCAGGGTCCCCATGAGGAGAAAGGGCTAGATAACTAAATAAATACTGTGCCCAATGCTCCCTGAGGCTCTTCTTGACTGACCCACAGCCAGCCTTTTATCCTTTAAATACAGCTCTCACATCTTTGGAAGTGGAGTAAAGAAGGGGTTAGAGAAGAGAAGGGCTAAGTTACTAAACAGGAATACTGATAGCTCCCTAAGGCCATTCAGGACAAGGGGAAAAGAGACAGTAGGGGATATCCCCAAAATTGTGCTAACCCACTTAAAATTTACAATCTTATCATTCATATATATTATGCTCATGTATCTGATTACCTAAATAGTGAATTTTCAATTGGCTATATCTTCACAGAAAAAAAGGAAAAATTAAATTTTTTGAAATCTTACCAATTCCTGCTTTCAAATTTACAATCATGACTTAACAAAATTACAAACATTAAAAATGAGACATGCTTGTTATGTTTGAGAATATACTTTTCCTCCCCAAATAATTTATTTAATTTAATTCCATTTGTTACAATGGATATTCTTAGCTGTGACATCCTGTCTGATTATATTGCTTCTAAATTAACCACTGGCAGCGTGCAGGATTGAACGTCGGGTCACCAAGATTGCTACCCAAGAACACTACTGCTTCACTACACAGCACACCATATAAATAATAACCTCACACTTTTTTTTTTTATTTATTTAGTTTTACTCACCTCTTTGTATCATAAAAGGTTAAAGCATAGCACCAATGTAGCAATTTACAGTATCTTCATTCATGTTAACGAATTCCATATACAGAATGGCATATTTACAAGGATTCATACAGAAGTTGTACTTGTAGGCATGTTTTTCTTTTATGTTTTTTGCTTTTTTTTCACAATTCCAATAACAAATACCCACAGAATAGTGAAAATAAAGATACTTCTATCACTATTGGAATTCATATTCTTTTTTTAAAAAATAATGAGGAGCACTAGCAAAATAGTCAATATTTCAAAAATTGCAATTTATGTACAATTTTAGCTATGTAAAAAAAGGGGTGGGGTGTAGGGGGGGTGGGGGGAAATTAACAGTGGATATACACATATGTACATCCTCCCAATCACAGTTTTTATCTTGTAAAAAATAATAACAATAAATAAATTAATATAATTAATAATAACAGAAAAAGGCTTGTATTTCACATAGTATGAGACGAATTCTAAATTTCTCAGTGGTATTTAAGAAACCAAGATGACTTTTCTCATCTCTTAACTTTGGACTTGTTTGTATAAATTTTTGTAAGCAAGTCTTTGGACTAATAACAGTACATGCATAATGTATAAAATCACAGAAACAGGAATTAATTCACCTATTATGCATAATCATTAGAGTTTGTCCACAGTACTCTTTACAAATCATAATATTGGAAATTTGGAAAAATAAAATAAAATAAAAGCCATCACATGAATACAACTCTCTCTCTCTCTCTCTCTCTCAAAATAAATAAGGTTCATCCGATAAAAATAAATACATAAGGAAATCAAACACGTAGAAATAAATGAAGAAAAAAAAAAATTATCTTTAAATATTAAAATAAATATATAAATAAGCTGTGCAATACATACAGAGTATTTCCCCATTAATTTAACACTCTTGCCCTTAGATTGCTGTAATGATTCTTCCTTACATCTTGAGAATTGAGAAAGATTATAAAAGGTACAATTATCAAAAATTTCCTGCATAAAAAAAGTCCAAGAGAACACATTGGTATATCAGGAACAAATTTTATACCTCTAAAAAATGTATTAACAATTAATCCTGTATATCATCTCTGGGTTTGTTATACACTGCTCTCATTGAATCTAATATCTCTTTCTGCTTTTGTTTCTTTGTTTCCTCTTCTCTTTTTTTATCGCACTTTTTCTCACACTCCTTCGGGGATGGGTGACAGGAATCAGCGTCACTGTGAGAGGTATCGTTAAGCATACTAGCACCCTTTTTCTCTGCTCTCTTCTCTAAGGGTTCGCAATCCCCATTCTCAAGAGAGTATGAACTGTTGTTCTTGTTCTGCATCTGATTTTCAATGCTGTCGTTATTCGGCAAAGGGATGGTGTCAAGTGGAGTCTGTGAGCCTTGGGATGTATCTTTGTCTTCTAGGCTTTTGGAAGAAGCTTCACACTTCTCTAAGACTTTCCCCTTTGCTGCACTGCTGCCACTCTTGTCCCGTCTGCTTAGAGGTGTTGCTTCAGTTGGGTGATCTTTACTGTTCTCTTCGCTTCCTGAGACTCCCTTTGATTTTGCTCTTTTTGCTTCCTCTTCCATAGACTTGAAGAAGGGCATTTCCTTTGCTCTCACTCCAACTTCTATTTCTCTTCTTTTCTCTATTATTCTCTTCTCAGAGGCTGTTCTACAAGAGCTGACTTCAGCAAGGTGCTCTTCTTCCCCGGCTGACTCCTCTTTGATGTCACTGTTAACCAGCATCTCTGTACTATCCACACTTGTAGCACTTTCACTCTCTGGACTTCGGGAATCTGTGCTTCTTGTGGGTCCATTATCTGTACTCTTACTCCTTTTTGCTAGTGGTGATCCCTGCAGAGTCAACTTTGGTTCTGCATCATTTTTTCCATTTCTTAGAGAAACTGTGTGATGAATAGGAACTTCAATATCAAGTATAGCCAACTGGGACGCACTGCCATTGCAGGGTTCTGGTGGTGAATCCTCACCGACCCTCCCTCTCTTGGAGACCAACTCAAACCTTGAGGACAAACTACGCTTTCTTGACCTGCTTCTCTGGTCTTCCCCACATTCCTGAGTCTGCTTCTGAACAATGTTTTTTTTACCGTCAGATTTTTCATTCTCTGACTTTACAGAATTGGAGCGCTTCACATCATATATGAAGTCTTTTTGCTCCACACTCCTTCGTGTTCTCTGAGGTCTTTCAGACCTTGCTTCTTCAGAGTCACTGGAAACTAGAGCTGTGGACTGAGTGGACTCCTTTTGATCTCTCAGTGGGTACTGTTTCACAGCCAATGGATTTGCTTTATTGATCTTCATTACCTTGACAGCATTTTGTACCTCTTCCTTCCCTTCCGATTTTTCCCTAAAATCTTCTCTGGTTGGTAGTGATTCTTCTAGGTCCAAATACTTTGTACTCTTTTCCTGACTCTTTACACAGTCTTTTGTATCTTTTTCTTTTAGTTCTGTTCTTGAGGGTTTCAGCAAAGACGCTTCTAATAAAGGTGTTGCCGATTCTAAAGAGGGTTTTGCCTGGTCACTCATACTATCACTTTTACTTTCATTCACTTTCAAACTTTGTACAATTTCTGTTTCCTCTTTTACTTTTACAAACTTCTCTGTTCTCTCATCATCTGTGCATTCAGTGTCTTTCTTTTCAGGCTTTTTAGGAACTTGATCATCTTCCTTTTCACTCTTAACAAACTGATCATTATTCTCTTTAGAATTTCTAGTATCAGTGCTGGAAGAATTATCATTGCTCTTCTCAGATGTCTCTGAAACACTTAGTCCACTTGGGCTCTGTGTTCTCGGTACAGCTGGGGGTGTTATATAATATTTCAATGGGCCAATATACTCATCTTCCTTGATCATTTTTGCAACATGATCCTCGTTAACTTGGTGTTCAGTAATGCAGTGGCGCATTGCTTCATACCTATGGTAGCTTCTGTACTTACAGACTTTACAAGCAAAGCGGGTCCAGTCAAAGTGCTGAGAAGCATGCCGTTTCAGTGTTGTGATGCTCTGATACCTCTTCTCACAGGGGATGCACGAGAGGTGAGACATGTTACAGAACTGAGCAAGGAGATTTTCTATCTTGCTTTGGTTACTCGCTCCTGTTGTACTTTCAGGTTCCTTCTTCTCCAGAGTCTCATCATCTGCCTGAGGCTCTTTTTGCTCCAGGCTCTCTACTGTAGTCTGTGGGAGCTCTTGCTGCTGCCCCTTAGAGTCTCTGGATTCTTTGGATGGGGGAGTTTCCTTGGCATTCTGAGTTTCTTTGGGGCTCTGAGGGTCCTTCAGAAACTGAAGCTCTTTGGGGACGTGTGGCACCCTAAAGGGGGCTGACTGGCTCTTGTCCTCATCTCCCCATCCTGCTGCACCAGAGCCGGACTGGGCCATGGTCTTCTTGTAGTCTTTTCTGATCTGTATGGCTATCTTCTTCTCCGGAGTCTCAGACCGAAGGCGAGGATTTAGGGGACTCTCTGGAGGGATGTCGGGCCTCATCTGCAGCAGAGAGCAGAACTTGTCATGCGACAACAAAGCCGAAGCTGTCATGAACCTACGGTCGCATTTAACACAACGGTGATCGGAGGAACATCCATTGTCATTTTCGTCTCCCTGAAAAATACAAGAATCAAAATCTAATAACCTTTTTAGCATCAGAATAATAATAATATATGGTATCAAAAATGACTACATCCCTCTACCTGTCAAATATTAACACAAACAATGTGAAAGAGAAAGAAAGAAAGAAAGAAATAATGCAATCAGAAACAGTATCTTACCAAAACTGCTTTTGCAAGTATTAGACATTCTAAAACTCTTCAAAATATAATCTCTAAACAACTGATTCTAAAATTCAATACAGGAAGAAATCTAAGTAATGGTTCGTACCAATCACTGCAGATCATAATCATAGCTTAGGTCACCAAAAGTCGTAGCATCACGCATGACTGCGTTCTGATCCAGAGTCGTCATGAGGTCAACCTCTGAAGTAGACACTGGGTCCAGAGAGTCACTGACTTCACTTTCTAAACCCGCTACCTCATTCTCTCTTGGAGTAAAGGTTCTTTCACTGTCGCTTATTCCAGCATCATCTAGCATCCTGCACGAAGTGTTGGTTGAACTACTTTTCAATTGCTCTAAACCAGGAACCACTTTCCTTATTTCCTCGGCTTTATTCTCCTCGCCTACAGACTGCATCATCTTGGCTCTTTTAACATAAAAAGATTTCTCCTCTTGTTCAGTCCCTTGATGATAAGCATAACCCCTTTCTCTCTTGGTGGAAGTTTCCTTTGATTCACCAGGCCAAAATGTAACATGATACTTTGTAAGCCCTTCTTCGGATACTCCTGCATCACCTGCAATGACCTGAGCTCCTTCAGATACTCCTGCATCACCTGCAATGACCTGAGCTCCTCCAGATACTCCTGCATCACCTGCAATGACCTGAGCTCCTTCAGATGGTGTATCACAATCCTTCTTCTCCACTTCTTTCTTGGCTCTTGCCTTTGCTGCCATCACCATTTGCCAGAGTTTTTTATTCTGATCCTTCTTTTTCTCTTTATTACGGATTCTTCTGAACATCTCATCACAGTCGAGGGGATACTTCTCTTCTTCCTTCATATCGAATGGCTTGAATTCATGTGGCTGGACTAGATCGATTCCTACATCTTCACCAGCAACTGCTGGTAAATCTATCTCCCTACCTCTGTCACTTCCCTCTTTTTTGCTCTTCCCCAGTGGAACATTCTGCTTTTCATCTTGGCTTTCTCTAATGCGCTTCTTATACTTCATAATATCTTCCTTCATCTTCCCACTATACTGTTTGATCCTCTCTTCAGGCCGTTGTCTTGTCAAACTAATGCTGATATTCTCGCTTCTGTTCCCGACATGAGAATCTTGAACTTTAACTTTGCTCGCATTTCTCACTAATGCAGGGAGGTTACTGACATCAGCTTCTGAACTTACCTTGTCAACCTCTTCTTCCTTCAACCTAATTGTCTGGATGTCTTTATGAGGCATGCTACATGACGGGGATGCATCAGTGTGAGACTCTTCTCTCAACTTCGACTTTTTTCTATGATCTAAAGGCTTTTTTACAGTTAAATGAGATTCTCCACTGCTACCTGACACACTAACCATACTTGTAGTGCTTTCTGAGATTCCAACTAAAGTTTTTACAGCTGCACACTCCTCTGGGGCCAAATCTTTGATTTTCAGATTCAAACTGTCACTGTCTCTCTCTTGGGACAATGATTTGGCATCATGTTTCCCTTTACTTTTACTTTCTGTCACTTTTCCTCCTGCAGCTTGAGTTGCCTCTAAGTTAAGCTGCTCCTCTTGTTTCCTCTTGTGCATTTTGCTTCCTGTGGTCTGTGAGGACTCTAAATTACTTTTTCTAGTGACCACAATATCTTTTCCTTTTCTTGAAACCACCAATTCTGCAGATTTCACTGTAAGTATCTTCTGAGCAAGATCATCAGACTGTAAACTGCAACGAGATACTGATTTTCCTGATTTATCCTGTGTATCTGAGCCTGAAAAATGAGCTTGTAATTCAGTTCCTTTTACATTCTCCGCATCTGTGGAAAGAGAGACATTCTGCGTAGGTCTGGAGATAATTACCACACCAGATTTACTTGGACCAGATACATTCTGCACACTTCTGGTCTTGATATCTAGATTAGGTTTGTATGGCTTCTCTTTCTCTGACAATTGTCGAATAATCAATGGACTAACTGGTTGTGTTACTGGGACTTGATCAGATTTCTTTTCCCATCCACTAGCTGCACTGGCTAAAGTTACATGTATAGGAGTTGAGGTGACGTGGGTCTGTAGGGTAGATATGGAATGGGCAATGGCACATGATAATGTTGGAGATGTGGCATCTGTATGCATTTTGAGCTGCTGTGGGCACCCTGAAGAACCTTGTACTTGTTCTCTGGATGCCAAGTCTTTCTTAGTGCAGGGAGAATCTCCTGTCAACTTGGTTTTACTCTCTTTTTTATTCCCATCTTGATGGGATTTAGATTTGGCAGAAGTTGCACAAGCATCATGGGGTCTACAAACTTTATCTATTTCAGGGTTTTTGGCTAAAACAGGACTAATTGCTGGTGCAGGGCAAGGCTTTGTCTGAATATTTGATGCTATCAATGGACTAGTTAATTCTGTAGAAGTACTTGGTATGCTAACCAAATCTGCACTCACTTCTTGGCTTGTACTAGCTACTTCATTCTCACTTGTCTTTGAAGCTGGTAAAGTGTTTCTGCGTTTACTGAAAGATGGTAAATTTGAGCTAGAAGCTGAAGATGAAATATGCTTTGGTCTCATTAAACTCCCAGTCTTGAAAGGTTTCCTCTCACTGGGTATAGAAACTGCTATTTTCTCAGATTTCCCTAATACATCAGGTGCTTTAACTTGGAGAGAATTAACATCTTTCACTACTGGTGTCGAAGTTTGTGGTTTGGATGTTCCGTCTGACTTTTCACACACATTACGGGCTTTGAACTCTGTAACAGATGTTGAACCCAATTTTGTTGCGTCATCTTTTGAGGCCATACTTGTTATACTAGTTTGACTAACAGACACTGGCACTTTGCATGAACTACCCGAACCAGTAACACTCTCTTGTTCTTCAATCTCATCCTTTACATTGTCAACTCTGACTTCATCAACTGGTAAATCGAAATCCAGGTGATGCCAACTACCAGAACGTGCCGCAGGTCTTTCAGCAACTTCTGCATCATCACTTACAACTGATTTCATGACTATCCCTTGTGTTTTCTTTGGACTTTGTGATACGTCTTCCTTTTTGATGTCCTCTTCTGAAACCATGACTCTGACCTGAAACAACTGTAACGTATCTTCCTCAATTAGGGGCTCTTCCTTGAGTGTGATTTCTTCCTTGATGACAATTTTGTCTTTGTTTGTACCCTCTTCCTTGTCTTGTTGACTTCCTGGCTTTGTTACCATTTTTTTGTGCACTTCTTCTACCACTGTAAAAGGCTCTTCTTCTATCTCTCCTTTTTCTTCTACCTTTACCGTGAGTTCTTTTGTCTCTGAGTGACTCAAGGAGTTTGAAGGAACATCAAGCTCCTTACTTTCACCTTTACTTAAGATATCTTTTTCAGAAGTATCGTCCTCCTCATTTGCCCAAATGGCAGTCAATCTTTCCTTCATCTCCTCTTCACCCTGTGTAGGGGATCTGGTACGTTCACTGCCTTGCTTCTCACTTGCATTTCTTGGTCCTAGTAAACAAGATTCCCCTAAAGAAGGAACAGGGATGTACTTCTCATTGTTTTTTCTTGATTCTGCTAGGTAATTCTTTTCACATATCTTGTCAAGCCCTTCCTGACTCCTTTCTAGCAGGTTATCTATGTTTTTGACATTATAAGTACATTTACTTTTTGCCCTCATACTTGGTACTACATCAATCTCCAAGCTGCTCCCTTGTTCTGGTTCACTCTTCTCACCACCCTCATTGGAATTTCTCTCTTCCAACTGGTCTTCCTCGCCCTCACTCTCTGAGGTTGAGGACTCGCTCCTGCTCCAGTCTTCTAGAAACAGACGGAGCTGTGTCGCTACCTTGTGTACTTCTTCCTCAGAATGATCTTTCCAGCTTGTTCTTAAAGGACTACTTTGGTTTCTTACGCAATCTGTACTTTGGAGCTCAGGCTTCTTCATGGAACTGTTCGTCACTGAATCTACATGTGTTGAAGTTGATGGCTGGACTGTCAAGTCTGTTTTCAGTGATTTTTCTTTTGAATTATCTTTTTCATTAGCTTCTGTTTTGGATAAGTACTGGTTCTGAACCACTTTCTGCTGTTTCACATTCACAGTCTTGTTCTCTTTACTGCTTGGAATTGTTTTTATTTTTTGACCTTCACTGGTATGACTTTTCCCTTGTTTCTTCACTTTAGAATAGGATGACGCACATGAGCTATCTACCTTGGATGAATGAATTTTTCGAACATCCTTTTCATCCTCACTGGAGCTACACGAAGCACCTTGTAGTCTTAACAGTGTCTCATTTTCTGTCTCATATATTACACTTTCTGGCTTTATCTTTCTAGCAACACCTTTCCTATTTTTTCTTCTACCTACTATGGGACTTTGCTCCATAGTCTTTACATCCCTTCTGCATGGTGTCTTATTACAAATATGCACTTTATCCTCTTCCTCGTCATCTTCCTCGTTATCATCCACCTTCTCTACATCAACATCCTCTTCTTCATTGTTGCTGTTTTCCTCTTCCTCCTCCTCCTCCTCTTCCGCTTCCATCTCTTCATTTTCATCATCTTCAAAGCTATTCCTTCTTATCCTGCTGTGCTGGTTTCTCCCCAATGTTTCTAATCCTGTGACCTGGTTAGGCAGGATCTGTCCATCTCTATCTACATGGATCAAAACTGCCTTGGGCTCAAAGTTGCAGATGATGTGTGTGGCCACGTGAGCCAAACTTGCCGGCCGTGAAATGAATTTCTTGAGGCACACATTACACATCCAACGCACTCCCTCTTTGGACCTCGACCCCTATGGAAAAAAAGAGAAAAAGGTGCTTCTAGTTTGCTGTCTGCCACACAAAAGGGGCCCTCATCATCCCTTTACAATATTTGTAAATGAGTACTTCTTGCATATTTTGGAAATAAAATACAAACAATAGACTATCCTATCGTATCCTTAAATGAGTAAAACCAAGTACCAGCTTACTGCTGATGGATTGAGAGTTACCAGCAGAAGGATTGAACAGGTCCCTGTTTTGATTAAAATTTACTTGGAATTTTGATTAGCACTTTTATTAAATGGATGTATCACACAGCAGAGCAGAATGAGCACCCTTTTCTCTTCTTTTCCATTAGATAAAGAAAAAATCACTGGGCAAGAAGAGGCCCATCTGTAGGTAACTCCACAGGCCCACCACAGTACTCCTGAATACCCAAGGAAAGAAAAATAATAATCTACTTTTCTCTACTACATTACCACAGCTACAGCAGTACAGTTGGACTTACACGCATATAGTTTCATAAGTTGTATACTAATGTTATTTATTTCCTGGACTTTAAACAAGGAAAAAAAAAGAAGTCATGAACACTGACTTAGTTGTTCAAATATAGACCAGCTGAGAGATCTTAAAATTAGATGAAATGGCTTAATCTACAATACCAGTAAGAATCACCACAAATACTCACACAGCAATTATTTCGTACAGACAACCCTCCACTCGCAACAACACATTCGTACACCTCCACGTAACCCAGACACATCTCTTATCTTCATTCCAAAGGAGACTTCAGATTCCTCTGAACATGAAACCTCCTTTACTACATGTCATGCTTTGCTTCCCCATTGCTGCTACAGTCAAAGGTGGCTTTGTGAAGGAGACTGCTTCCCCATTGCTTTACAACATTTCATGAATATGGGTCCACAGTACCTTTAATGGCAGTATACATATATCAACTGAGGCACAAAAAAAAAGAGAAAAAAATAAGAAAGAAAGAAGAAGAAAAAAAATCCAATGAACAACTTTTTGTCATGGTTGCTTTACTATTATTAGACATTATACATTTTACACCTTTCCGTGTGTTTAAATGTTTATATATGCATATTTTGGAGGGCTTGTAATTCTAATCATGATATTCATCCTTTGTTCACTACATGTATGAGGAAATAACCTAAGTTTCCTAAAAGTTCTGACCTGTAGATATTGTTGAACTAAGGTATCTGTTTCCTTGCTTTCCGATTATCGAAAGGGGATCAGACATTTACTGTGATGTGAAGGATTTATTGAAGAATATCTCTCACATCACAACTGTACTGGGAGTGGGAAAAGGGAGAAAAAAAGATACAAGGCTTGAGAGTGCTGGAGCCAATTTCTAAACACCTTGAAAGGTAGTTTGGGGGGGGGGGGGGGGAAAGACAGAAAAGAAAAAATAAAACTAAGCAGAAGCACGAGATGAATCAAGGAATTCTGTATACTATATCAAAATACCAGGGCATCAGAAATCTCTAAAAGACAACTATTGCTCTTGAAATTCAGAAATGGTGAAAGATAGTTTTGGAATTAAATGGTATAACTACAAAAAAAAAAGACAAAGAAAGGGGAAAAACACAAAAATATAAAAGACAACTCACTGATATATCGCAAGGAAGCACCCAGAAGCAAGAGAGAAGTTGGACAATAGAATAAGAAAAAAAAAAGAAGAAAAAAGGAGGTACAGATTCTATTTCCCAAATGGATGTGGGTCGACTCACTCTCTGAAAAAACTGTGGTCAGTACAGCCGGGGAGGCAGCAGTGGGAGGCTGTGGAGTTCCTCACCATGGAAGTCTTTTATCGCGCTGTCAAGGAGGAACCTGGTGGACGTTAGAAGTATACCAGAGTGTAGGCAGCTCCATTAGGTCACATGCTCGGCATCCTACAGTCCTTTTGGGTGCGAGCAAGACAAAAGAGGGTCCAAGAAGGAAGACAGGCAGACGGGTAGACAACTCAACAAAGTTCATCCCATATCACCTCAATGGTAATGTTCACAAATTTGTTCCATTGGCAAGTTTGCTGCCTACAGCCATGTGTGAGGATGCAAGGACTTTATGCTACTAAACGCCAGGAATTTCAACTGGAAGGACTGGTGAAAAGTGCTTCAGCTAAGGAAAAATATATACATACATTCTAGATAAAAGTGAAGTTGTACTTGGGCACTCATTAATGATGGTTAGAGAGGAGCTACAGTTGGTAATAATGAATTTCCTAGGCTAGGGAGGGGAAAGACAGAAGGGGAAAAATGCAGCAGTCAGTGTAAGTGCCTCCTTTAAATGCAGATTCATATCAATGCAACATAACATGATAGAGAGGATGATCATGATATGATCAAGTCTCTGTTTTGTAGACAAAACATCATAAATAAATTAATAAAATAAACACAGTAGAAGTTCTAGGAAGCATTGCAATCAGCAGAAGAGGGGAAAAATTTCATAATGGGAATATGAGTCTGGAAATTATACAGCAAAACTTTGTCCATATATCTACATATAATGTGTCTGTGGGCCGATCAGCAATTAGTATCGCTAACATGGTTTCCGATTTCCCCCCATTGAAGATACAAATTTTTCCCTCCAAGATATATAAAAGATAATAAGTGCAAAAGGTATACAGAAGCTGACAACCCCCACAAAGAACAGGACATCACTCCTTGACTGTCCTAGCAATATGGCAAAGAAGCAGAGCAAAGGCATATCTCACAGGAATTATCTCCTGCCTCATGCCTCTTCTTCCAGATTGTCCCTCCCACTATAGGTAAGCCTCTAGTGCATCTTCCAGCATTTTCTTTTTTCAACTGCCCAATAATCATTTTAACAGAGAGGAAACTCATGTATGGACACCTGTATTTACAGAATTAGTATCATAAAAGAATGGGGAAGTCTACCTTCCAAGCATGGGGTGCCTTTAACCTTCCCGTGAAAGCAGAAACAGAAACAGAAACAGAAACACTCACACACAAACACACATGAATATAAAACAAAGGCAGATGTAGATATACAGACACTTGCACAAGTAGATAAAATCACTCACAACACAAAACACATAAATCACTCACACACAAACACATAAAAACACACACACACACACTAGGGGGGGGAGGGAGGGAGAGAGGGAGAGAAAGGAAGAGGAAGAAAGAATGGAAGAAGAGGAAGAGGTAGAGGAAGAGGACGAGGTAGAGGAAGAGGAAGAGAAAGAGAGAGAGTGATTATGTGTGTGTGAGTGTGAGTGTGCGCGTGTGTGCGCATATGTGTGCATGTGTGTGCGTGCGCGCGTGTGTGTGTACATGTGTGTGTGTGTGTGTGTGTGTGTGTGTGTGTGTGTGTGTGTGTGTGTGTGTGTGTGTGTGTGTGTGTGTGTGTGTGTGTGTAAGTGCGTGCGCGAGCATATGTGTGCGTGCACGTGCGCCTAGGTTTATCTAGACACAGACACACACACACACACCCCCATCCATAAAAGGGCATATTCACAACTTAATATATCCTGCATTCAAACAACACAACCCTTAATTCCCCAAGCATGATCAGTCCTGCGATCCCTGCCTCATGATTATGGGGGTACGTGGAAAGATAGGCCCTACACCTCTACAAGATACACCATAATACATAGGAGTCTTTTACCAAACAAAATTAAAAGATTACAGTACACAATATCATTAAAAATTAAAGAAAATAATAATTTGTGAAGCCATATCATTACCTAGATAAATGCAAAATTAAGGAAAATAATTTGCAATGACATACACAATCTCTAACCTTCAAATCTTTTTGTATCAACTGGTAATTTATCAACTTTTATTCCTTTTACATGAATTTTACCATACATAAACATTTCTTACATATCTAACAGTTCCTCAAACCAAAGATTATCCACAGCGTAACAGTTTACAACACAATCCTGAACTGAACTTAATGTAAATACCCTAAGAAGCCTTAGACTACCTCCAGACGTGAGACAGGGATCACACTACACCAAGGACACGAGCGGTGCTTTACCATCCTTGTGTAGGGATTATGCACCAGACTGCGGACAGTAAAGGGTGAAGCGTGTACAGAATTTGCGAGTCCGAAGATGGCCTGATTTTTACACAAACATTGAGAAGTGTTGCCAAGTGCATCCTTATTTCTCCAGGAAACCTTTCAAAAGTGTACAGAGAAAGAATTGTATATATACACAACTTACAAACCAACACTGACCTTTATCCATTCCCCAAGAAACGAAGGGAACTTACCTTCACTACGCTCTGCATTTTCAAATGATAAGTCATAATCAAAATTATGCATTTCTTATGAACACATGTCATCTTTGTTTTTTATTATTGTACTTAAAAACTACTTTACACAACCAAATCTAAGGATGGCTTCTAATGAGGGGGAGAATGTGGACCAAATAATGCATAATGAGAAGAATGTAACTTGAACATCTATTGAGAATGATGTGGATGCAGATGAGAGCAAGTAAATTAACATTAATCTAATACCTTTCCAAGGTAAGATGTTCAGAAACTACAAGGATGATATTACTACAGTCAGCAACTCACTGCCTCACTAAAATATATACGATAATGTTATCCTTAACTAATAATTTTCAACATGGGGGTTAGTATTTACCAAAGGCTAAGGAAAATAAGACACAAGAAACCAACTGAAATCTGATAATAACACTCTATCCTTACTTTCGGTGTGGATTTGACAGGAGAATTCTTGGGCGTGGTGTTCGCGCTGCTCCCTTTTTGTGGATTACTATCAACCTCCATCTTCGCAGGCTGCAAAAGAAGTGATTCTCGATAATGTTATTTATCATTCATTTCAGTCCCTTTTGGTAATCAACCCCCTGGATCCGGTTGCAATGGTTACGCAAGTGGCCAGCATCCCGGGCGTGCGGCACGTAGGCCTGGTGCGCACGAACACCCACGAGCGGTGACAAGACTCTGTGCCTCCCTTTTGAAAAATTATTTTGTGAAAACTTTTTAGCTTTATTGCCATTTTCCAATGTCCATATTTGTCTTTTGATTTGCTTTATCCAGATGGTGATAGCTTATTTTCCTTGCACAGACTCCATATCATCTCTCTATGTAGTAAATAGCTCAGTGCAAGAAAAAATATATATGGAACATTTGGTTATTTTTGTCATATATCTCATTTTTAAAAAATAATTTTCAGTTTTACATAATACAACCTGCGCTGCCGGTCACAGCGGCCAGGAATACGGTGCGCAGAATGGAAATAGCATCCTCCCTGGAGCCGGTGCTCTTCCAGTCACTGCTTACGCACGTTACATTCCACATTCGTTTATCGATGGGAATAATGCTAAAGCCCACTTCTAAGCGCCAAATGAGTCAAATCACACTCCAAGAGGTTTGTGCACTCATGGCAAGTCACCCTGGCCTTCTCTCTTGACACTTTGTTCACGTCATCCGTATAGCTGCCCAAGTTTTTCCTTGACGTGATTGCATCGTCATCCGGATCCAGGGGGTTAAGAAATGAACTACTTAATCATCCATTACATTCTACAATTATTTCCATGTTCCTTAATAATTATGCCACCATTTAAGTACCAAACAGGCCAATGGAAATGACATCCCTATAAACAAAAATGATAAAGAAAATAATCATAAGACTTGCAGCAACTTGCGCATCAACGTGCTTTTCAACCTGTTCTGTGCTGTTGTCTTTTCCTAAACATAATCCACCTTGAATCTCTCCTAGTGACATGCAAATTCTACATGTTGAGCAATCACCATGCACAGAGCACTGTGGTGGCTCTCTGAACACCAAGAGGATAAACCTTTTATTCTTGATATTTCAGATGTTGCCTTGACTGAATGAAATAGGATATGCTTTATCAGTGACACTGTGGGACGGAATCAAATTGCCCAAAACTACATGGTTGTCATACCACTGCCCTCATTTTCCCTATATAAAGAGAGGGGTTGTTAATCTAACCTATATAATACAAATGTCTTCATGCAATATTTTGTCATACAGTCATGAGGTTATTTGCAATATTTTGTTATACTTGGTCACTATGTAATGGAAATCTGTTATACATTGTTATCATGCCCTATCCTTTGTGGAGATGATTACATTATTCATTTATTCAATCATGCTGCTTCATATTAAGACAACAGTAAAATGAGATAATCTAAGAGCAATATAGGAAAAAAAATGTGACATTTCATCTTCCATAAAAACAGGGAAAAAAAGAAAAGAAAATTATAATGCTCCAGTCAAATATAATCTTAGTGATGTATGAAAAAATAAATAAAATAAACAAATAAATAAATAAATAATACATATCATTATGGTAAATTTATTAATGCAAAAGCATAAGCTATGGCTACTATGCAGCAAATGAAATCATAACTTTCTAAAGTATAAAATTATGTCTACCTATAACTCAAGTGCATAAACATCTATAGCAATAATATTATGACAACTTATATATTTCCTGGAAGTCGTTCTGCTTGCCTTTTTTTCTTAACTAGCAGGGATGCAAAATAACAACTACAAATTAAATGGTCCAGAAATGTCTGTACCCTAGGCATTTAATATTTTCTTTATCTGTAAATCAAATCCTTTTCATAAAACTGACACAATTCTTTTACTTTACACATGACATTTTTTCTAATTACACAAAGCAAAAGTCCATTAAAACAACTACAAAGGTGAAATTGACATAATCAAATTTAAAAATAATTATCCATTTGCACGGCACTCTTGCACAATTATTAAAACTTCTATCTGTCTAAATCATTAAGAACAACAAAGCAAACTCCTTTTACCACAGCACAAAGTGTATACGAACTTTTCATCCTAACAATAGTGGACTGGAACATTTGCAAGTGTGTGCAACTTAAGAGGGCCTTTGACCAATTGTCCAACAATATATTTATTAATGTTTTATCAGTCTAAACCTTCCTCTAGATCACGAGCATTGACATATCTATGTCAATGCCTTCTATCTCATGCCTGTAGAGCATCAAAACAAAGATATTGATGTTTATGTTGTAAACGAAAGCTTAAATCAACAAAATATTCCATAAACACAATTGGTCTGAGAACACCTTTGGATATGCATACCCTCACTTGTCCTCTTCCTCCTCTCACCTGTTCGCATGGAGCATCTTCCTCCACCTCAGCTGCCTCTCTCTCCTCCTCTTCTGCCTGATTCTGGTCCTGTTCTTGCTCTTCCTCCTCCTCTTCTTCTTCCTCCTCCTCTTCCTCCTCTTTCTCTAACTCTGCTTTGTCATTTGACCTATCAAGGTCCTCTTGGTCTTTGAACTCATCTCTTTGGTATACCATTTTCTTGTACATATTCTTCTTTATGACTTTTCTTAATCTCTCTATTTGAGTTTTCGTTTTCTTGTGAACTGGAAGGTTGGGTGAAAATCCATTTTATTTGCACTAAGAAAAGTATTATATTTACCTGATCAACAGTATCATCTAGAAAGCTATAAAAGAAAAGTTGTGAGAACTATAACATCCATTTAGACTACATATTCATCAGAAGTTCAAGAAACTATGAAGGTCAGTAACATTTGTGTTCTTTAGTTCTTTACTATCAGACATATATATATCTTAGCTACACCTGCTACAAAGTACTCTAGGAAGGTGTATCATTAGCTCTCTGTTGCATTTCAGCTAATCCAGCTGACCTAACTTCAACAAAATAGAATAAGAATATGAATAAAGAAAAAAAATTAAAATACTCACCTTTTTGTAAATGCTTGACAACAGACAAGATATTGAGGAAGGTAGTTTGACAGATTGGGCAGCAATATATATTTCTTTCATAGCCATGCTGCGTTCGTTGGTGGACACTTAGCGTTTTCTGGGTGGCAAATCTTGTATTGCCTTTGAAATTAAATTGGTAAATGAGTGACAGAGCAACCTATAAGAAGATCATTTATGACCTTACATTTCATATTCTTCAGATGCTTTGTGGAAATGCTCCCTGACAGCAATCTTTATATTATCATTAACCTTGTTCAACTGAAGTCTACACCTACAGGTCTAGCTCTAGATCTATTCCTCTTTACCTATTCATAAAGTACATAGGCCTATTTTGGGCCTAATTTCTTTCAGAACACTGTAATACTTACATAATCTACAAATGATTTCTTTGGATGCATCTGAATTGCTTTGTGTTTGCTCCACTTCCATATTTGTAACATTCCCAGCTGCTGTCTTCATAATTTCCCCATTTTCGTTGATAGCAACTGTAAGCCCCTTTTCGTGTTCTGATACCTGGGGGTGGGAGAGCATGGATATTTATCAAATAATCCAAAATATCTGTATTTTCATTGTCTACTTTGGCACATAATATAATCAATAGGATTAATATATGGACACTCACACAGAGTATTTCCTGTTTTTATAATTTGCACAAAATACAATACATAATCCTTTCTCTTCAACAAAACATTGAAACGAGAACAAAATTTCCATGATGTAGCTCAACTACAAAAACTGCAAGAAGCAAAAATCAATTACAGATAGAAAACTCACCTCATCGATTAAGTTCCTGATAGTGGATACCGGAGAAGGTTTGGATGGCGGTACATACGTTTGATACATTGCATTGGCAACACCCCCTATGTCTTCCAAAACAACTGAGCAGTCCCGGCTGAGCTTGTCTCGCTTGTTGTTGATTTCGCTTATTCTGAAAGAGAGGGAGTTGAGAAAATGTCAATGTAGCAATAATGTAAAAAGGGTTTTTTCTTTTAATCAAATGTGTATCCCTATTAAAAAGAAAAAAGAAGAAAAGAAAGAAAGAAAGAAAGAAAAAGAAAAAAAAGTCAATCTTAAAAAAGAAAGAAAGAAAAAAAAAGAAAAAAAGTAAACCAAAGATGAAGAAGAATCAAGGCTTTCCGAAAAATAATGAAAAAAATACATGAGCAAATAACAAACCATGAAAAATAATCAGACAACCAAGGAAAAGCACATTCCCTCATACCTCTGGTAATAATCTGAAGACCCAGTATACGTCGACGAGGAGAGACTATGTTGTTTCCTCTTGTTGGCCAACCTCCTCGCTATGGAGTCAATACCCGACCGTCTCTCACTTCTTTGTGCACCAGATCTAACCGGCACTGTCAATGTATTTGATGCTGATGTGGAAGGGTCGGGTTGGAGGTGCTGTGGGGTGTCCGGAGGAGGTTCTGGCTCTACAACTACGGTTCTTGAGTGGCTAGTAATGCCCTGTACATTATCCTGGGAGACGAATTTGAGAGTCGGTTACAAGGGGGGAATTTTGGGCATGCTTTGAGGGAGAGGGAATGGGAGAGTATTTGCGTGTGCGTGTGTCTGTGCGTGTGTCTGATGGGTGTGGAGACTCAAAATAGATAACAGGGGACAGGAGAAGATATGACACTTTTTAAGACCCTCAAGGATGTGTATTTTTTCATCCTATATACATTGGTCACATTGGAAGAATATACAAAATACTTGAGAATATACTTCAAAGTGAATTTCTTTTTAAATATATTTTTGTTGGCATACCTAAAAAAACCCACTTATATAAATAAAAATTTGATGAAAAAATAAAACCAAACATCTGACAATGGTAATTGCTTAAATACTGAAATTTAACAATCAGAAAAAACACATGTTGATTTTGCTAAACCCTAATCAACTTTTGATCATATTTAACCCAATCATAACTGGAGGTCCCAGTCAAACCTGCGCTACAAACCCAGGTGTGAACAAGTCAGCTGCTCAAGGGAAAAATTACTTGCACAAGAAACATAAAATGATCCAAATCTTTAAGCTCAGCTGTGGCACAAAACTATTTTGGTAGTGGAGCTCAAGAGAGGCTTCGAACCTTGTTTCAGGGACCTTTTTCCATAACAAATGCAGCAGGGCCAAACAAGCAATCATTTATTTACCACACACAACTGAGAGCAGACTAACCCATGCATGACATAATGGGACATCAGCCAACACACGGCATATTTGGGTTAAATGTAATCACAAAAAAACTTCCTAATACTGTGAAAATCATGAAAACTTTTTCTAAAAGGAATCCAAATTGAATTATCAGAAACTTCCTTATGCAAACATTCCTTCATTTTATTCACTAAATCAATGTCACAAACACACCTTCAATTACAAACATTACAACTCCTAATACTGTGAAAATCATGAAAACTTTTTCTAAAAGGAATCCAAGTTGAATTATCAGAAACTTCCTTATGCAAACATTCCTTCATTTTATTCACTAAATCAATGTCACAAACACACCCTCAAAAATAGTAACGCCTCATTCTAAGATACCAGGTTATATCTTCAGTTCATGCTCACCCCAAAGGCACTTAATACTATTTTTTGCATAATTTGAACATTACAAATCCATTCACATTCACTCATTCAAAGATCCTTAAAATTCATTTCATGTCCCTTATTTATGAAACTCATTCATTCTCACTCATATATTTATTCTTATACACAGAAAACTCATTCACAGTTACACTGATATCTATGTACTCTTATTCAACTCACTCACTCATTCAAGGCCATCACAATTAATTCTGTGATACTTACTTTGTGAAACAGTGACCTGACATCTGCATACTCTTCTTGGCAGTATATTCTTTTGTGAGCGAGGAAATTCACTACTGATCTGAAGAGGTTGTTGCACACTTTGCACTCTAGGATCACATCGCACTCGTTCAGGATCAAGTTTTGTACCTAGAAAGAGGAATCATCACATTGTAAACTCTCTTTTTTAATTTCTGACAAAACCTTCCTTCTATGTCTTATCATTGCTGTTCATACATCTTACTTTTTCTTGAAAATTCAGGGTGATGTTTTGGCCTTAATCAAGTTGTGCTGAATTTCCCTGGCCCCAGAAAGAATGAGACAAAATTTGCTCTATCTATATTACTGGTTATCAGTTCTGATTAACAACAGGAAAATTAAAAATGATCAAACATGAAAATACACCAAATAAGTCTCATGTTCCATACACACATATATATGTGTGTATATATATATACATACATACATACATACATACATATATATATTAATATATATATATATATATATATATATATATATATATATATATATATATATATATATATATATATTATATATATATATATATGTATATATATATATGTATGTATGTATGTATAATATGTATGTATGTATGTATGTATGTGTGTTGTGTGTGTGTGTGCGTATATATATACAAACACATATATGTATATAATCACATATACACATATACAAATACACATGTGCATAACTTTATACAATCACAACAAGAGGGCAAAACTAAAAAAGAGACATTTTAGTAATAATGCTTATCTGAAAATAAAACTTAAATAGATCCACTTTATTTTCATAGTGAACTGAGGAATCTCCTCTGCCTAAAAATGTTACAGCTTTCCTTGCTTATTGTGGCTGAGGTTCATTTCATCTTTGTATTTCTATTCATCATCTACTACCTGTAACACACAGTAATATTCCTCTTCATCTCAGTACAATGCAGAACAAGAGACGGAAAAAAAGTTTGCTTACCTCTTTCGTGCCAGTGACGAGAAGTTTGGCCAGATTAGCAACACCATTTGCTGAGGCATTGATGGACTTCTTGAGAATTGAGTAGTCAGGATCCTCTGGCAGGTCAAACACTTGTATTCCCTGGAAAAAAGGGAAAGCATAACTATTTCCCCAAATACTTGTATAGATAGAAAAATTGGACTCTGAATTGCCAACCAGTAGTACTTATGATTTTCACTTAATTAAATCAGCTCCTATTATTTTCAATGAAACCTGAAATTGTTTTGTACAACCACAGAAGACTACAAACATAATATTGCCATTAAATTATGCACAAGAAAATATGAAATAAGAAAACAAGAAAGTGAAAAGAAGAAGAAAATACCCATTTGCAATCACTCACATTCACACTCACACACACACACTCTCTCCTTCACACACAACTCTCTCTCACACACACACACACACACACACACACACACACACCATATCTTCCCTGGGTAATACAGACTAGATGTATCTAAGAAGCTATAAGTTTTCCCTGTATACATGGAATGGCAAGAAAATGTTATCTAATTTCCCACCAAATAAACATCTTTTTTCTGAAGTCAATTCATACAATGCCACTTTCTTTACACAGATTATAGTTACATCTTCAGTACCAAAGTATTCACTTCTTAACAGGTTTATTGAGGCTCTTCTTCAAAGAATAACCAATATGCTTTAATAAGCCAGGATTTTTATTCATCTTAGCAATGCTATTTACCACTCAGGTATCCACCTCATGTTTCATATTTGTAAGGTGTTAGTACCAAAACAACAGTAAATACATTTTTGTGGGTTTTAGCAATCAAATTTGTACATCATGCTTTTTAATCTTAACATGATTTATCATTAATAACATATATTTATTCAATTCTGGGATCAAAAGGGAACTAGAGCCTCAAATTGAATTTTCAGTATCAATCTAGTACCAATTACCCTTGCTCCCAAACCTTACGCAAAACTAACCATCAGAGTATATAACACAGATTTTTTTAGATCTGGAAGTTACAAGTTGAACAGTGGACCTACGTAAGTGAAATTAATATATGCGAGAAAGCATATCTTCTTCAAAAGCCAAGCACATCCAAACCTGAAATTTTACCATAATCTAGAAGCATAAGAAAGTGGCATCAGGAAATAATAGTAGAGGAAGAAGAGCATGACAGACAAAAAAACTAAAGACAGAATAAGACAGGTAAGGTTCCTCTGCATGGATAGGTCCCACTCAGATTTCAGTAACATATTTAAGGGTCTTGGCTGGAAATGAGAAGTTGCCAGAAAGTATTACTGGTTACCTGAGCATATCTGGCATCATGCCAGACAGTGGGGCCAGTTGCCAGTTCATTCTGCTTATTGCACAACACCAATTGGTAGTGGTAGTAGTAATAATAATGATAATGATAATAATAATAAAATAAATAATAATAATAATAAAGATACAGTCCAGTCAATAAAACATTGTAGGGCTTTTGAGCTTAATATTACCATCAATTTTTTTTTTAAGGCATGGAAAATGAAAACAAAATTTCATAACTTTCCCCAGTTTGTAGTCCAGCTAGAAGTAACCAAGGACTCTGGATTTTGTCATTAGTATCAAAATAACTTGCACCAAAGAAATGGCCACTTTTCATTGATACTTATATACCCGTTCCTACAAAATCAGTCAATCCCATACATACCAATAACAATATTGATACTCTGTCCTGTCCCTAATCAATATAAAACCCAAACTGGTACTCAAAAAGGTACAACTCAAGTCAAAGCTTTGTTCATTAAAGAATGGGACTAATGCTTTGATGCCTTTGTTATGAAGAGAACTTTCATTCTCTATTTTTTCCCATTTACATACTCCCCTTCTGCAAATACAAATTACTCCATATTCAGTTTTAATTGTTCTTTATTTCTGTTACCGAGGTTTTTTTCAGACATTTCTAAATTATGGTCTCACACACTAATGTGGTGAGCTTCAATATCTGACAAGTCAATATTTTTCGCTAACATTGTAGTCCTTGCCTGAATCCCAATTTACTGATAAAATTAGGTGATAGTCATACGAGAACATTCTACTTTGTGGAACTGCTGACTTAGAGTTATCCCAAACTACTGAGTGCTTTCTCTGCATAGGTTTATAGTTATTCTATGCAAAAGCTGTGGGATGCCAATACCAAAGAATTTGATTTGCAAGGATTGCATTTGCTGTAAGCTATCCAAATATAGTAAATTTAGTCTGCATAATCCAACATGGGACGTGGAGCTGCTTTTCACGATTCATCTAGCCACAAAATAAATGGTGTTATAAAAGGTGACTCTTACATAAATCAGATCTATATTTAACTAACAAAATTTATTGTTGTAATTCTTATTTTCTTCTAATAATATCCCATAGTATGATTCATGCCTAGCCAACAGATCCAATATCATAGATACAGATGGTTTCTGCAAATTGAAACTACCATACCTGGTGAATAACATGGTCTTGTATAAAATTTCCTTAATTGTCTTAATTAATCTTTTCCTCACTCTATACATGTACTTGACAACACAGAAACTTACAGAAGAGCAATAAAGAAAGAAGAAAGAAAAAACAGGGAAGCAAAATCTCTAAGACAGTCATTACTTACACTGTCTCCTTCCTGATCCCCAAACTTAGTCTTTGAAGCTGCGGATTTCGCCGAGGGCTGCGAGCTACTGTTGCCCTGATTGCTCCCGCTGCTGCCACCCGCATGCTTTGTACTGCTTGCAGATGAGGTAGATGCTTTGTAACTACTGCTGCTGCTGTTGCTGTTGTTGTTTGAGGCACTGGTATGGCTGGATGCAGAGACCTTCCCCGAGGTGTTGGCAACGCTCACTTTAGCCGCAGCAACTTTGGTGGCCTTGGCAGAGGTTTTGGCTGCCCCCTGGCGTGTGGTGGGGGTATTCTTGGGAGTGGTTGTAACCTTGCGTGCGAGGAGTTTCCGTGCCCTTTTCACCATGTCTGGGTTATTTAGCATTCTGGTGGATAGGGTACAGGTTACCATATGTAGCATGTGTTTATCAACACCTTAGTCTATTGTGATACAGCAAAGTTTAATCTACAGATTTATCCACTACTATATGGAAAATTTCTTAAACATGAAAGGATGCTTTTTAGTGTCCTCATGATTTATCAAACTGATGTAATTCTAAGAAAAAGCAAGGCTAATACAAGGAGGATGGATCAGCTGTTTCTTACCTGCTGATAGTCTTTTTGTCGATGTTGAAGTGTTGAGCAGTTTTCTTCTTAAGTCCAAAATTATCATCGCCTCCATTCTTGAAATAGTAATCAAGTACCTTTAACTTAAAATCACTGGTATATGTTATCTTCTTGGAAGACATCGCCATGGTATCTGCAAAATCATGTCAAGTATTAGCTTTGATGTAAAACTTTGTAATTACTTCAAACTCTACATGAAAATCTATCAGATAAAATAATGCATATAGCTAATAAAAGAAGACTATTATGTATAAGAAGATGAAGACAAAGAAGAAGAAAAGAGCCTTGTATACTCCAGAAATATTTCTCGTCAATAATCCTACTTTAAAAACTAAGTCAATACACAAGGTCATTGTTATATTCATCCACATGATCCTCTCAAAATGGTACAATTACAGAAAAGAATTTTGTCCACAATGGTCTGAGATTCTGAACAAACTATAACTGTTCTTCTAGAATATCCTTTCTTGACCTCTTCCATCAGATGTCCACTGGCTAATATATAATCATCTCTATGGTCCTTATTGATGTCAGTTGTATTTTTGTCAGGTATTCAAAATCATGAATAATGTAATGGTGCCAATAGCAAGCTACCAAAAGCTGCAAGACATAGGTTTATAAATGGACAGAATTAGGCAGTCATGCCAGGGTGGGATAAAATGCATTTCAATTCATATTCATCATATTCAAATTATTTCATGGTCTCCCCAGCCAAACAAGATGTTCATGTTGCACCCAAGATCTTTAGAATGGAGAAAAATACTTTATGCTAATATCTAGCATTCTTTAGAAATACAGATATGATGGCACCTTACTTTATTGTATGCAAACTGAACATTTCAAAGATGGCTGTTATACTGGATACGACATCTTATATTGACGATCTTCATGGAGTAAAGCAATTTGTACAGACTTTAGATATATCTAAAAGCTTCAAATCTATTGTTGCACAACTTCTGCATGTGTAAAGTGAACCTTCTAGTTTGAGTGCCCCTCAAAACTTTCCTAAATTCTGAAATGGGGAATGAAATTTACTAAACTAAACAATTTACATTTCAGTTCAATTCACATATGACTTGCAAAATCAACAACATTTCGAAACTGAATGAGTGCCCAATGTCAAGCACAGATCTCAAAAACCAGTTTCACCATTTGTCATTAGTAGGTCAAGCTTTAAAAAAATTATCACAGTCACCCCTCTCATTGGCGTCTACTCAATTTTCTTTATTAAATATGAACTAAATCCCTTCCAGAATTCCCGTGATAACTAGCAGAAATGCAGGCTTGAACTGTTTCAGTGCGGACATCAAGATCTGGAGGCAAGATGGATAAAAGGAGAGGCAAAAGACCGCTGCGACGGCGTGGAGAGAGGCAGCCAGAGGGACGAGTTGGCGCCCAGGTACCTTCCTCTTCCTCCTCGCCTTATCTGCGAGTAAATCACCGTCTGCCACTCTCATACTACTGCCGAACACGAGTTTCGGCCTCAAGGGACGTTTCGGAAGGCTCCCTGGGCGCCCAGCTGTCGCCCGACGGCAAAATGGGACGAACAACCTTTCCAACTTGGCCCTTTGGCTTTGTCGCTCGTCCCTTCGAAAGGGGATGTCGCACACCATGCTCACTTCACTCTCGCCTTTCCCGACTCTCTCTCGGACCGAACGAGCCAATTCCTCGATGGTCCCCTCCGTCGGATCACTACATACCTGACACGACGTGAGATAAGTGAATCGCCCCGTTGCGTGGTGGGAAATTCTCGATCCTAAAAGAGGCTGGCAGGGACGCCCATCCTCCTCGCTGCTCTCCTTCGAAGGCGCTCGGGAGAGGGCAGCGCCGTC